GCATGCGATGAAGGCTTGTGAGAGAGCTCGGAGGTGATCAGCATTTTCCCTCAAATCTTTTAAGGCAAGTGACACACACACACACACACACACAGAGACACACACAAACACACAGGTTAAATGCTTAGGCATTCTTTGTCACCTTATTCTGTTTTCCTCCCCATGATTAAAGAGTTTACCTCTAATAAGATGAAATAAATCTCTGAATAACACAGCATATAATGAAGTTACAGATCAATTATTTAACAAAAATATTTCTTCTATTTATTCGGCAGCGGAGTAGAACTGTTATGCCCAACAGTTATTTCATCTTGAAAACACAGTTTGTGTGTGTGATATACAGCTCTCATTTCATTCACATTGCACTCATGCTTACTTATAGACTCAGACTTTCTGATGAAAATAAAGGTTTGCATTTCTGTTCTACTGCTTGCAATGAAATGCGACATCTGCTGTAAAGATCATATGTACAACTTGCTAATACTGAGACACTATATCAAACATTGAGATTGTCATTGTAATCAGGACGAAAGGTGTATGAACTTCATTTAGAAATGAGATACAACTAAAAACTTAGCCAAAAGCATAAAGTCATTTGCCGAACAGTGATCCAAAGTTGTATATTTTCTTATCAGTTTAAATCTATCTTTGTTTATTTTTCATTTTTTATTTACCCTCTCTAGTGGACACATGCATCTGTAACTCAAATAGCAGAAAGAATCTAATAAGCAGAATCCAACTGCCTTTAGGCGGCTTCTTTTTTTTTCATGGTCATCTGAAGACAGTAACTCGACTGATTCATTGTACTGTTGCTGAACCGGGTGAAGCGCGGCAGTCATTGGAGGATAAACTCTCTCTATAAGTTTCAGAACTGGGCGTGAAAAGGGAGGAATTCATAAAAAGAAGGAAGTGAGTCTTTTTCATCAATATCACCCTTCTTGTTATGGTTTAGCGGCTCAAGGAAAAGCGGTCTCTGAAAAAAAAAGCTCATTTGCCCCTTTTCTAGTGCAGTCTCTGTGTTCAAAAGCGTCACTTTTAGACACAGCCCATCATTGTATGAAAGAGCGAGCGTCTTTGAAGATCTCCCCGCCCTTCACTGCAAACACCCAAAGCCTGCGAGGAGCAAAGTTTTGAGTTCAAAGCCGAGCAGCTGAACTTACAGCTGCCACCAGAGATATGATTTTGGATGCAGGGCAATTGGCCCTCAGTGACAGCTGTGGCCTGACGCCTGGCGTCCCAGACTGCTCCTCTGTAGCACCAGCAGAAACACCTTCTCTCTGCCAGGAGACATTTAGCAGGGAGCAGCGACGTTTATGCGCGCAATTACCATAGGCAGATACGCAAGTGACTGATTACTCCGTGAACTCATCTGACATTTGTGTTAACTGTATTACAGAAGAGAAACAGAATGTTGGTAATTGGATTATATCTGCCCTTTTGATGGTGCCAAAATAAATCATCAGGCTTCTATACATTTTAAGTTAAGCACAACTTAAGCAATGGCCTCTAAGTTTAGGGACCACAGGACCAGGGAGCATAGTGGAAAGGTTAAGAGTTTTGTTCGTGATCTATGGAAATCCAAATTAATATGGAGTGTTTCTTTTTTGAAAGTCAAAACGACAGACATTTGCATATTTGCATATCTTCAAATACCTTTAGAATTGCAACATTCTTGGCAGAAATTCCTCATCCAATCCCGCAAAAGTAGCAGTTTCAGATGGATTGGAGGAGCTATTCGAATCCATTCCACCGAACAAAGAGAAAAAACATCAAAAGTGATTATGTATTGTTACCACACAACAAATCGTCATTCGTCAGTCTTGTCATCGCATTGAAAGCTGTTCATGTTTCATGGTGGGTGTGCCAGCCCCCTCTTGACAGTCCATCATCTTGGCATGGACTGTATATTTCATGACACATCATTAGGAGCTCCCTGTTTCGTGTATCTGCAGTCACCCGTGATAATTAATTATTTTTCAAACTCCTCCAGATTTGTGTTAAAAGAGAGTTGCATCTCCCCCTGCTGTTTTCTCTGGAAACGCACCATGACTGAGCCAAGTGGCTGACTGAGTTTTAGTTTTTATTTATTTCATTTTTATCGCCTCAAACAATCTAATTTTGTTTACTGAATATTCACTCTGTGATGTGCAACTGATGCCAACACAACAAAATTAACAAAATACAAACAACAGGAAGTGTTTGGTTGCAAATTCATCAATGAGTCGAATGGTACATTTTGTGATCAGTAAGATTACTGAAAATGAGGGAAAATGAAAAAAGGGGAAACTTCTTTTCCCTTTCTTGTTTTATTCAGAATCATCCAATTAAATAGTACTCATTAAGCCCTGTTCCCTTTCTTATTTCCCCTGCTCATTTTGCCTTTTTTTTAATGTCCGTAGTGGAAGGTGTATTATTCAGAGCTTAAAACAGATGGGGCTTAGCTCAGCCAAAATGTCTTAGGAATTTAATACCAATTAAGTCATTTCATGTTTTTTAGGAAGACGATTAATTCTGAGGTTAGGGTTGATCAAGTCAGCAGTTAGTTGTCCTTTAAAAAGCAAATGGAATAGTTTTATGGTGTCTCATCTGTCTGTTGAACTCTTCATCAGTCAATGCTGCTCATACGAGGGTTTTACAAAATGAATAATGTTCTCTCATTTAACACAACAACATGTGCTTCTTAAATATATTTTATAAATGATAATTTCTGTTCTGAGAGCTTAACCCTGTTAAGATGCATCTAGTTCAGCCACCAGTTTGTTTTTTTGTTTTTTTGTATTATTTTTAAGTTGCAATGATCATGCCAGGGATGTGTTCTATCAGATCCTGACAGATAACAGTCCTAAAGGAATGCCTTACTGTCATTTCACCTGCATACATGGTGTGTCCTAAAAGACTTGAAATGCACCAGAGTTGGTTTAGCTCAGAGCCATACTGGGCTCAAGGGAAGTCCGTGAACACGGGAGCCTTCGTGGCTGCAACACTGCAGTGAGCTGACTTTCCTATGTACTTAAAACATTTGACCTTCTGTAGTGAAAGTGTAGGACAGGGTTAGGACTTTTTTTTTCCTGGCTGGGTTTTTATTTTATTCTCTTTTTTTGTTTGAGCTATTGGTGGAGTCTTTGGTTTCAAACAGGATTCATACAGTTTGTTTTTGGATGTTCTTGATTTTCTTTTTTTGCCTTTTCTTAGTTTATTTTGTTTATAGTGTGCCTGGTTGTTCATCTTTGTTCATTGCTTTTGATTGTAGTATCAGTCTTGTCTCGCCATAGTCAAGTTTAGTTTACAGGTCTACTTTCTCATCGGTGGACCTAAGAGATACTGTTTGGTCCTCGGCTTTACTCTCACCTGAATTCAAACTGTCACAGCTAGAGACACTCGCTAATTACCCAATTTATGCTCCCTGTTTTGTCACAGTCAAAATCAGGCACCTACGCTCAGAACATTCCAGCGATTGCCTTATGGCTCTTTTTCTAGTCAGGGTTTGCCTTTTCGCTATTAGTTCTCGATTATCTCACAAGTAGAGTTCTCCACCTGTGTCCAGCATCTCATTTTTCTCTCTGCTCAGGGTCAGACACTATTGCCAAACGCTGCTGCCCCATTGTAATTGTTGAGAGTTAATTCCTCTCTGTGTGTCAGGCTGTTGTTCTATGGCACTCAAAGCATGCAGTATCCAATTTAGCATCCTTAATCTCAATCACACAAAGGGAAGGAACCTCTGAGGCAGCTGGAATGATCGGAGGAGCTGCGGAAAATGTACCTTGATAAGTGGCATAATAACAACAAATGTAAAAGGCTTTTCTTTTATCGCCATAATTTGATCATTAATGGGCTTCATGTAAACTATTTATGGCATTGTTATTTTTAATCACCCTGGTTTTGCTTTTGCTGATTATAGCCTTTGTTTGAAAGCCATGAAAAGTATATCGGTTCAGCACGATAATGATATGTCACATATCTCCTCTTGCTCTCATTCTGACTTGACTCGTGCTGTGTTGTTATGTTGATCTAAGTCAAACTATCATTCGTTCTCTTCTGATGTTTAGTTGAACATGTTAAAATATCTGCAGTGGTAATCACTGATATGTCAACTGTCTGCATACGCAGACTAACATCTCCCAGTTGTACCTTAAAATATTGTGCAATCCACTTCTTCAACTCTTTAATTACTGTAAAGAGCACAACAGCATCATTTACCAGGCCCATGATGACGTGGATTTATCCCCGCAGTGACACTCAGAAACTGTAAACTCAGCCAGCGGTGTATAATACAGATCCCCTGGAGCCATAAAGGTGTGTGAGGATGTGGATTAACCTTTAGTACAGCACAGGCAGGGTGAGATATGTTGGGTTTTATTTATCTTATCTGTAGGGCCAGAGACCAAGAGTTATTAGTGAGACCTATCAGTTACCAGGTTGTTGTATCAGTCTATATCTTGTGCACTAACTGTTTCTTAAGGCTTAAAGCAGTGGTTCACACACCTCTTCAGACTGAAATCTAAAGAGCAAATGCTGAGAATAACCTTATCACATACCGATGGTCAGAAATTACATTGTATGGAGATAAAAAGTATAAATTCAAAGGGAAAAAATTCATAAAAAAATATTTGTATTCTTTTTTTAAACATGTTTGATGGAAAATATCACATTGTTATTTACTGGTTTGAAGCTAATAAGAGATTCCTTAGCACTGTGTGATGGTAGCAGTGGGATTTAAGGAAAACATTGTTGAAACAAACAAGCCTGTATAACAGACAGTTATTTGAGTCCGTTCAAACTAAAGAATTCATTATGCCTAAAAGTCTGGAGAATGTCAAAGTTTTACCTGTGGGATCTAAAGTTTTGCACATCATACAATAAACGTTTGGACATCATAGAAGGATTTTCAGGAAGAACCAGTTTAAGAATAGATATGGTGACGCAGGCATTTACTCTTTATGCTCACCATTATCTGTCTGTCTCTACCACCCCTATCCAACCCTGATCTCCTCTGAAATATTCTGTCACCTTGTCCTTTTAGAGCCGTCTACTGGCTGGGTAATGACACCCTGAGGGTCTCGGCTGCCCTTTTTGCTGAGAACCGCCAAAGATTGTGCCAGGGGCTGAAAGCCAGAGAGGATGTTGTGTCTCAGTCGGTTGTGGTGCTGCAGGGGGGGGAGCAGAAGCAGAGGTACTGCACCGACACAGACCTTGTCTTCGGGCAGGTGGGTTGGCTGTTGAATGACATTCCTCTATCCATCCATCTCCCTGAAAACAGCGGAAAGTGTTTATTTTCTCTCCGGATTTATCGTCTACTTTTCCATCACTTTGGTGAGCCTATTAGCTTTGGAAAAGAGTCAAGAGGGCAATTGGCCACAGTGAGTTTCTCTGGAGCTCATCCTACTATTAAATTACCTATCAATCTATATCTGAGTTGTTCTTGTATTATCGCATAAGATTTTAAATGTCATTTGTTTTAAAAAGGTAATTCAAAGCTTTTGGGGAAAAAATGGAGAATTTAGTCTTTCCCTAAATGGTCCAGTCCAGGATGCATTTCTCATATTTCTCATACTAGCCTCTCTAATTCTGGCTCTGACTCTTTGAACGGTGCAGGAATCGTTCTTCCACTGGGCCTTTGGAGTGACTGAGCCTGACTGCCATGGAGCCATTGATGTGGATTCTGGCAAACCCATTCTTTTTGTTCCCAAACTGCCTGGAAGCTACACTACTTGGATGGGAGAGTAAGCCACAATTGTCCTCAAAGACCTGTTTGCACGGCCAACACATATCACCAGCTCAACCACAGTTCTAAGCTGTGAATTTAACCTGCAAGCTTTCTTTGAAATGTTATAAGATTCTAATGCAGTAAAAAAGAATAAACATCTTAAATTTTGTATTTTTGTCTTTACCCCTTTATCTCAGTCACATGTTTTACTTTAACGAAACAAAGAAGTTACTTCTTAAATATCATAGAAAGATTCTCAGATAAATAGCATCTATCACATATGCTTTGATCAACACTAAGGAAGTGTGTGAACCTTAAAAAATACATGCCTCTGACTCATGTTTCTTTACAGAGCGCTGGAGCTCATCCCAGCTGCCACTGGGCAAAAGGCTGGCTAATCCTTGGACAGGTCACCAGCCTATCACAGGGCCACACAGAGTGAAATGACAAATACCCATACACACTTAGTCCTGGGGACAGGAATACATATTTCACCACCAACATGCCCATCTGTGTTATATTGAGGAAACTGAGACACATGTTATCATACCTATTTCACAGATTGAGTCTAAATTATCCATCTGATGTCAGACAGATGTTATCATTAAACATAATGAGAGATTATATGGCATAAATAACAAAGAAATTATGCTGCACATTAAGTGATTTCACTCATGCATAATGATAAACGCAAAGGTCTCAGTAATTTTGGTTTGTTTGTTATATCTTTTTATGAGTGTTTGTTTATAACATATATCAAAGAATCTAAAATATGCTATTTTAATCCCGATAAGCACCATAACATTACATTACCTTGTCTCTTGGCATTCTTGGTTGCCTGTGGGAGTGTTTTTGCCAACCTCCTCAGCATGACAACAACACTGCTAGTTTGATTGTGTATGTGTGGGGCTCAGAAAGAGATTTGGGCTTGTTTCAATGGCGTTTCACCTCAACGAAGAGCCCAAGAACCAAAAAAAAGCCATATTCTGTGGTATTATCTTAAATATGGTGAGCTGATATTTCAGGAAAAAGACATTGAACAAATCTTTTTCATGTGAGGGACCCCCATATTTTTAAGCTAAAGGAAAATTGATGGTTAAAGCAGGATGCTGTACATATATTCACCATAGTATACTGAGTGTTGTATGTAAGTTGAATTAATTTTCATTGGCCATTATTGTTTGGCGTCATGAAGACACTACTATTCCTCAAGTATGGCCTTGGTTATAATGGTTTATGATGGTAGAGTAAAGCAAGAAGAGCTATGGTCAGAAACAACATACAGGATAGATTTATTTGCTTTGCTAAATATGACACATTTGAATTAGAGAAAACTAATCCAAAGTTCTTATTTTCCTCAAAGCAAATGTTCAACATCACTGAATAAAGAGCTAAATAGTTTATTATAAAGCTGAACAAGATCTTCATCATCAGTATTCATTAAGAAACATCCGTCATATTCAGCCAAAATGCGGCCCATCATCATAACAAAACACAACAAACTACTGAAGCAGAAAATATAAATTAAACACAACATAGCCAACGTAGAATGAATCGGCCAGAAAAATATATATCCATCAGTCCATCTATGTATTATTCCGTCTTTTTCTTCTTCAGGGATATCATGGATTCAAATTAAAGAAAACTTCAATCATTTTTTTAAAGTAATGGAAATTTCCTCCATTGGCATCACAGGATGACAGTCGTTCAGCACATGTGAGGGGCCTGTGTAGGTTTGTCAAATGGAGCTGACACCAAAGTGTTATGCAGAATCTAGTGACAACAACAAAAGAGGTTTACACTTTGGATTCATCCCCAGCTTTGACTGTGAGACCTGGAACACACTTGGTGTCCTTTGCCCCTCTCCCTCCTATTGTGCCCATCCACATGGGCAACAGACCAGACTTTCTATTGTCTTTTTCTTATATGAAAACCATGTGTTTATATGTTTTTTGCATTTACCTTTATGAGGCGTATACATATATAGAGATAGATATTTACATTTATTGACAGTGTCCTCCCAAACAAGCACTTTAAGGAGAAACTGGCTGTCACTGAGGTGCATAACATATGTGACATAAGTCTTTTTGCAACTATTCCAATGAGATCCCCTCTTGGTAGAACTTTTCAAGCTAACATATTGAACCTCAAATCAGAATGCATTACACCTCATCTTGATGTTTAAATAATACTTTTTTGTCTTCACCTCTTGAAACAAATTCTTTCAGATAGTGTGACGGTTTACAGCATTATGGTAAATAAGTCATTTTTCTTTGTCTTAAAATGAAATTACATAGAAATTAACCCATGTAAAAATATGAAAAATGTTTATTTTTATTCATCACTAATGTCTCACACATTTATGGGAGTGGTAGTGGATATGGTGTCCCCATGGGGTAGACTGTGGCATAGTTGGCCTGAGAAATTTGGACAGTGTACAAGTTTACAACTGTGTGCAGCTGGCAGACACGGAAAATTCTTGTGGGACTTCAAGTTTGAATAATTCAGATTTTTAAACTGCTGTTCCATTTTTGCCACTTTAACACCCAATTTCTGAAAAATACCCTCATGTTCAGGCTAGGCTTCAATGCCTGTTCAGAGAATTTGGGGAAATGTTCATCAGTGTTGACAGCAGATGCCCAGGGGATCAAAAATGGTGGGTTAACAGCCACATAGCTATTTTGGAGACAAATTAAAAAATAATGTATTCAGACTACACACAGCAGCTTTCACCAGCTAACAAATTGACGGGAAGTTTGTGCTGGGGATGATGTCAGATTATTTCACATTCCACTTTCCACATTTACATTTTTGATGATTAATTCTGTGCATGCTTTATTTTTACCTTTCTTCACCTGCATCAGGTGTCAGGTCTCTTAATGAAACACATTTGGAGGCAGAGATCATCACTCAGCTGTCCTTTTCAACAAAAGCAGCCGAACACTGAAGAATTACATCAGAGAAAAAAAGCTAACCATCTAATAATAAGCTTTGCTCCCATCTACTGAGACATCGAGCGCTTGTTCGCCTTTATCATGAAAGTGTTAGTTGTATAGAAGGATCTAAAGGCCAATGTTTCCATCTCATCCAAATCAAAGCGTAAATGTTTCAAGCAGAATATGAAAAAATATCTAAAGCTTTTGGATAATTGAGATTCACTCGTCAGTGTTTTGCTTTAAGTTTTTTTTTTAGCTGTGATCAGGTCTTTTTTAATCAAGAAATACTGGCAGGCAGACATTTTTTTATTCAGCTGTGCTTTCTGAAATTAGAAATTTTATTATTCCAGCATTAGGGTGATCCCTCTTAGCATTGTACTCAATATATAGATGATGCAATTAATCTGTTTCAATCCATCAATAACACGTTAGTGAACAGCTCACGTTATTGATCTCCGACCATATTAGTTTTGCCCCAGTGTAGGTATAGTCTTTTTTCATGACTTACATAAGAGAAGGTTATTTGAACCAAAGTTTAATTGATATTTTGATTACAAGTTGGTCTGTCTTTTTTCCCCCTCATATGACATTTTAACAGATACATGGATGGGGCTGAAACCACTCCGTGATGTTAGTGCTGTCAGCCCTGGGAGCTGTTGTGTGACTTTAAGGCTGTTGGCAGTGGAATAAGAAGGTCTCATGAGTTTTGTCATTCAATGTGCCGCTTATTACTGGAAAGGCCACAGTGGCACAACGGCGCCTGCCAGTGTGACCTTTATTCTGCTGACATGAAGGAGAAGAACATTTCCGTGTAGCTCTCTGAGTATTTTATCACTGTGCAAATTGTTGGATGTCCCGTCCATTGTGAAAACTGCCATCTTCCTTATATTGGTAATTATCCTTTCACTGTACCTGATTATCCGTGATGCTGTTTAGACTGATTTGAGGACTGATCACTGGACTTAAAGAAAAACAGTGTGGTTGAGAATAGCTCAAACTTCTGCTCGTTCTGGTATACAATTCAAACATCTGAAAACTCTTATTGGGGGTGTCATCATTTGTTATTTGTTTGTTTGTTCTTATTTTCTCCCTGCAGCGAGGAGAGAACACAGATAGTGGGGGCATCTGCTCGGAAGCCTCCTTTGAAGGCATTAGTCTACGTTTAATTGGCATCGATTTGCATGAACATAATCATACTTTGTTTGAGGAGGTTGGCTATTTTCCATTTATAACCAAAGATGCAGCAGACTGTTATGCACTCAGATTGTTGCTGATTAACCTGGTTCTGAATTTAATCTAATTAAAACAGGCAATCTTCCTTTAGCTTGTTAGCTCTCCATTTACAGTAATATTCTCTTGTCCTTAACACTGGTCTTTGTTCTTTTCTTCACTGAATATATTTACCATTTTTATCTACTCTCATTGATCCCAACTGCTACTTTGCATAAACCATATGCACAAAATTGCATTTTCTATTAATAATATTTTACTTTCTTGTTCCCTTTCTCATCCGCTTCAAACAACACTCTTTTACACCAACTTATTGCGGAATGGTGAGTAAAATCTCTATTTAGGTTTTAAGAAAGTCCCTGTTTTGTGGCCTTTTTTTATCTTCAGTCAAATTCTAACAAATCCTGTTCAGTTCCACCTGCTCAGTGAGGTAATGATGTGTCTCTAATCAGAAATGGTGTCTTTTTTTAGTTGTGTTATTTCTTCCTCTCAGAGTCAGAGATCAGTGTGCATGGGCTTAATGGGCTCCGTGCTTGCCGGGTTGTCTTTGGCATTAGAGTCTGCTCCCTCCAGATGGACTGACATTTATTGAAATGAGGAGGAATGCTTTCCAGACACACCTCCTGGGGAGCAGAGATTGATTGAACCCTCTGCCCCCTTCTAGCCAGAACTAACACGGCTATCTTTTAATGGGCTTTTTAATTTATTCTTTAAAATTGGGATGTGTCTGCTGGCTGTCACTGTCTTGTTTTATGTATAAAATTACTTTATTGTTCAAATCGCCAATGCCCTCTTCTCACTTTTCATCTCAGGAGTTCACAAAAATATCAAGAAAGATAAAAAGCAAAAAAAAATAAGAAACTTTGACTCAAATCAAACATTGTGATATATTTTCTTATGGGTTTTTATTCTGTTTCTGTTGCTCCAGAGTAATGAATAGAGGATCTCTTTTAAAGACAACTTTCATTTTGCATTTTTGCTACTCTAAGGAAAACGAATGTCAAAGAGATTTATTGAAAAACATGGTCTACTTCAGCCAGTACACTACAAATATCTATCCAGTTCAGTCAAATTCCTTATTCTATTGGGCAGTAAATTCTTTACATCACTGTTTTTAAGTCATGCCATGTTAAGTTAGATGTTAGAACACTAAACCATAAATATATCTACTAAACCATAGTAGTTTAGAATAAGAACTTTTTTTTTAAATGTAATATGTAACTGATACGCCTACAATGTCTGTGCCGTTTATTACTATATTGATATCTCCGCTTTGTGGCTAAGGTAAGGGCTGGCATTTCTACCTTATTTCTCATGATCTGAGCTGTAACACACACCATACAGTATGACCTCTGCAGCAACAACTCAGTCAGATTAGACTTATTGACTTCCACAAGTCAAAGCTGTCGCATTTCACATCCTTCAATCACCTACTGTCACACAAGCATTTCATCAATCCCTCATACCCCCCGCGCTATGCTGCTGTTGGTTGATTAGGGGAAGTGGGTCATCAAAAGACAGATGCTAGAGAATAGTCAGTCACCCTAAAAAGTTTATCAAAAAAATGTATTTGGTTATTTTTTTCGATGGTGGAGAAAAGCTACCATATGTTTTAACAATCCAAAATATTGATAGAATTATTTTACCTTTGACGCCTTTCTATGGGTTAGGGCAGTCGGTTGCAGTCGACTCATTCTGACTCGAGTGGAGCTGGTCCGCAACTGGATGCTCGGTGAGGCCCACATCTCTGTAACGTTGATCAAATTAGTATTGGTGTGAAAGAAAGAAAAAACATACGAATGTTGAAACCTCGAACAGCCAAAGCATAAAAAACATGGAGAGGTTTCACACTCACCTCAAGGTCTCCCAATCTTAGAAGACTATAAATTATTCAAAAGTTATCCGTTTTACTTTCTTCCAGTAGCTCAGAGGCCAGATAAATATGGGAGAAGAACTTCCGCAGGTTTGAGGCTGAATTCATCTTTTTAAGATATAGGTTTGTTAAATGATGGAAACGCTATCTTGGGTTTCATCTTTGCTCACCATTATGCTTCTTTGCTTTTCACATTCATGAGAAGAGGCTCTAAACATTTCTTCTCTAAATAAAAGAAGTATAGATAAAAGCTGGACCTGCTCTGCTCATAGTGAAGATGTTACTTGCAATGCAAGGGGTAAAAGATATGTGATGTCGCCAACTGAGTGAGATAAAAACAATGTAGTCCATGAGACATGAATCAGATAGATTTAAGGTTGAAAATGATTACTACAAAGTTTATCCTTGCCCAGACCAGCACAGACTTTTTAGAACCAATCAAACCAATATTAAATCAGTGGTATTTATTGACTTATTTATCTGAATGTTTTGTTTTGTTGGAATGTAAGTTTGTTTGTTTTTTTTGCATTTGAATTATTACAGGGTTTACCCAATTTAATTTTAATTTAGCAAATCCAATGAAAAATTCTGTTTTTGTTGGTCATGAGGCATGTAAAACCAGGACTGGAAGAATATGACAGAGTGCAAAAACGCATTCTCTGTAGATATTTGATTACAAAACTTTGACACTTATAGAGTTGTGTGCAAAGTACTGCTTATTTCATTTGTCATTACATTTAAGTAAACTATTAAAATTGACAAAAAAATTATCTTGTGAAATCTAAGTAAACATTCTGCTGATGTAGGTACTGTAAAGACTGTTTCAGGGAATGGCAACATATTATGTCCATATTATGCAAAACCACGTTTTTAATCATTTGATTATGTACATTTGGGACTGTGGAGGGTCTATCAAAGTGTGAAAGAAAATTACTCAGTCATGTTTTTGTGGGCTGCCTCAGTATCAATACAGGAGATAAATCAGGAGCTTTCAGGAGTCGCAAGTTTATGACGTCATTAGCTCTAGCTCATTATAATATTCCAGCCTTTCACCTGCATGTTGCCACCCACCTCCGCTTACTCCGCCTATCTGTGCGTATCTGAAAATGAAACGAGTGCTGTATTCCCACCCCTAGCTAATATTGCGGACTTGTAAAATTTACTCGTGTAACGGGAATAGCATGCTACCTATGTTTAGTCAAATCTATATTTTTATAAGCAGTAAATTACACAAACAGCGGTCAGCGGTTGACCATATTTAGTCAGCTACCGTATTTACCCGACGTACATACATACACATTTTTAAGAAAAAAAAATTTTTTAAAAAAAAGCTCGTAACTCACCATTCAGAAACGTGTTGTTGCAGTCTACATTGAACAACTTCTTCGCTAGCTCCTTCTTGTTCGGGGTCTGACTCTGGTTCAAACATATAAGGTTGGACCGAAAAGTTTCCTCCAGCTGCCATGTTTCTCCCAGAGTTCACGTTCAGCTGTTGTCATGGTAGCGTGAGCGTGCCGACGTCGGCACACCTCCCGGAAGAAGTGGGTGGATTGCCTGTGTCTCATTTGGATTTAAAGAGACAGGCACTCAAAACAAAGCGCTCTGAACAGGGCTGTTTTGGCAGGGGGATTGAACTGCTATTGTGCTTCATCCTTATGGTATTTTTAACAAAGATTGCCACATACATTACATTAGGACACCAGGGAACTAGGTTAACTTGTTGAAATAGGGTATAATATGACTCCTTTGACAAATCACATTTTCCACCCAAAATTATTTACACGTCAACCCTCATTCACACTCTTTGATTCATGTCTCTGATAGATGTTTAAGGCAACCAATTCTTTTCTTCAATTCTTTTTTAGTTTGAAAAATATCTGGTGTAGTTTGTCGCTGAAATGCTCTTCAACATGTGGGTTTGTTTAAGCTGGGAATTAAACCTCAAATCTCTCAGTTGGCAGACTAACACTCTTTCTTCTGAGCCACAGCTGCCTTCAAATATCATCATGTTAAAATAGAATTACTGGATTAGCGAAACCTTTAAATTTGATGAGAAATAAAGACTGAGTGATGGCAGCCTGGCAGTGTGGCTTTCACTGTGCCGGTTCAGTTATGTAAACAAAGAAAATAGAGTAACTTGGTAAATGCTGAAATCTCTTCAAAACTCTATTATTGATATCATTATTATATCAGACAGAGCAAGGAAAGCACTATGAAATAAAAAAAAGATATTGTGGTTTGTGGACATGTTGCATTATTTCACATCTTCAAAAGACTATAACAGACTTAAAACAGGTAGAGTGCATCAATGCACACTGAAGGTAAAGAGGGGGAAAAACAGTCAAAGCTTTTGCGCTTTCATTTCTGTTGCGATCCATAAAAGCTGTATATGCACCTGACCATACAATGATTAAAGAAAGACTTCCAAATGAGTTCTTTAAAAGCATGTCCGACAGGGCTTTGTTTTGTGTGTGTGTTTGTTTTTCTTATATTTCCTAATGTTTTCCAACATTGCTGCTACACTAAAGTAGGGATGCATCACACCTCATTCCCCTGTATATATGGAAAGTTGGGCTTTTTCATTTCACTCTTTAATATCTAATTTAGTTACGTCTCTAAAATTAGTCTTGGCCTCTATGAATATCATTATTGATTTTTATTTTTTTTAATGAAACCTTTGCTTATTGTCTATGAATTGCCATAAAAAGTATTTTAAGATGTTTTACCACCATCAGTTCGAGATGGGTAATATTTTTTCATTAGATACTAGGATGTGTGACTTTTCATAATTGCCATGATTTCTATGATCTGTTATCATAAAATCATCTCTCCTTCTTAGTAACATGACCGGGATTACGCAATCTGTAGCGCAAACCCCTACTCATGTTCCCCTTTCAACTCCGTCTGCAGTTTCTCTCTGCCCGTAAAGTTCTAAAGGAGTGTGTCTTAGAATGCATCCCAACGCTCAGATCTCATTAAAACACATGCTGCCTTCCCAAGATTTCCAGTGTTCTCATCATTACATTTTTGTCCGACGAGGATCTCACACTCTGCATGACAACAGAGCGTAGAAGTGGTTAAAATGTATTTTTTTCTTAGTTGCACTTGTGCTGTGTTTTTCTCGGCATCTCATTTTCAACCAATCTGGATTTGGATTCTCATTTCAAGGAAGGTCAAGAAGAGTAACTCAAATTAGACAACATTTCTGTTGGTATGGTTTCACTAAATCTATATAGATTTATGTATTTAACTTTCTTGAGATACAGAAAAGGATGCAGTGAGTATGACCAAAGGTGCTAACAAAAGTTCCATAAGATGTCCACAATCACTACATGATTTCACTTTGAAAATCTTTGCTTTTTTTTAAAGCTGTGAAGTGGTCTGAGATGCACCTCCTTCACCTCGAGGTTCACCTTGAATAACTGGTGACGATTGGAAATCTGATCTGCAGAGTGGAGGACGTGATGAAGGTCCACCTGGGCACCTCTTTTTTCCACCCTTTATGTCCCACGGCCACCGGACACCCGCTGGCCATCACCCGGAACAGTGTGGGAGGTTAGCCTGTGGAAACAGTGAGACTTTTGATCCTAAAGATGGAGGCCCACTTTCGGTGCTTGAATATTGATGTGTCATCAATAATACAGAGTTGTGGGTGCAGAAGTGATAGGGGAACATGAAAAGTTCAAGAAGCCCGACGAAGAAGTTCAGGATGAGGGCAGGAGGGAGGGGAAGTTGAAATGTTGTCTCAACTCTGAACATGGATGGTTTTCTTCTGTGGGTGGGGGGATTTGCGATGTGTCACGGTTCTGACAGGAAAACAGAGGAAGAGGTTAACCCACAGTCTCAATTTCAATCATATTTGAAGTGAACTTCCTCAGTACAGTCTGTGCATGAATACAATATTTGTCCATCTTAATTTTTCTTGTCGTCTGAATGGAATTTGGTGAAAGGGAATTCATTGTTGCTGAATCAATGAACTTATTATGTTTAACTGTGAAGACTCATGTTTAACTGTGAAGTAAGTCCTTCAAAAAGACTAAGATTAAGATTATGATTTAGCATTTTCCACAAAAATTGGTTGTGATGTGCTGAAAAAAGGTTGAATGCATCAATAAGTTGGAAGGGTCAGTTTGCCCGCACAGTTTTATTTGTTGTGTTTGTTGAACTGGACTCAACAGGAAAATTCCAGTGTTTAAAAGTAGACAACCAGTTTATGAAGGTGATTCATGATGGACGCTTGCTGTGTTCAACCACTGTGTAACTGCTGTGTGCAGGTTTGCATTGAAGAAAACATCGCAGTGAAAGCAAATGTCGTCAAGCTGCTGACCCCTGTCCAGAGCACAGTGAAGGAGATTGACGCTTTTATGGCTGACTCTGCTAAATCCTTCAGTCCAGTGGTCACTTGAGGAAAATTCCGAATGACGAAATGTTTGCCAAGTTTGACCCGTACACCACCAGTATAATTTCTTATCACTTACTCTTCAATAAAGCCATGGTTATTACCATGTACAGACGGTATAGATCATAAATATCTAATGCGCTTTTAGTAGGATCATCATGCAACTTTCAGTGTGATTAAAAAGCGCATGTAAGCTGCATGCATTTAATGGATGAGTTTAATGACACATTGAATTTCATGCCCCCCATTTTAATTTCTGACCCTGCCCCATAGAACAATAAATTCTTTGTATTCGGTTATAAAAAACATAGATCGGTACATCCATCCATCCATCCATTATCGTTACCGCTTATTTCCTAACGGGGGCCCCGGGGGAAACTGGAGCCTATCCCAGTGGTCAATAGGCAAGAGGCGGGTTACACCCTGGACGGTCCGCCAGTCCATCGCAGGGCCACACAGAGACACACAAGGACGAACAACCACGCACACTCATACCTAAGGGCAATTTGGAATGTCCAGTCAACCTAACATGCAGGTTTTTGGACTGTGGGAGGAAGCTGGAGAAAACTCACGCAGAGGGACGACATGCAAACTCCACACAGAAAGGTCGTGGGTCCCCCGGGGACTTGAACCTCTTGTTGTGAGGCGATGGTTTAACCTCAATATGAGACTTACAATGGAAATAGCGGTAACTTCTTTCTGAAACAGCTATGATGGCAATAGGGAATGTTTACATGTGGGGTTAGACAATTGACAGCAGCTTATTGATGCTCCTTTTCTCCACCACTCATGTCACAGGTTCCAGCTTAATGCCGACCGCAGGGAAAGTCCTCCTCTCCTGTCTGTCCAATCGTACAGGGTCTGTCTTATTGCTGGCTCCCCAGCACACCACAGCATAAAAAAGAAAACTGGCTGTGACTGACACGTAAAACATCAGGAGGCGTTTGCTGTATATGTTGAAGAACTCCAGCCACCTCAGGAAATAAAGCAGGCCTTGCCCTTTCCTGTAGCATAATTCTGTAGAGGTTCAGTTTAATGTGTATGCCCAGGTACTTGTACTGGTAAAGGTTGTCGCTTTTGGGAGCTTCCACAGAATATGCACCTGAAGGCATTCACTTTTCTCTTAAACTACTGAGTTTGAGCATGTGTCTGTGCTGCTACAGCCACATTGATATCCTGAAACTGTGTTTTGTTTTCTTCTGTCCCCCTGTAAACTTTTCCGTCTGCTTAATGAAATGCAACCTGGCAGCCCTAAAGGTGGCCATCTAGCCTCTTCTTTCTCTTCAGTTTTGGCTTCTCTATTGCCAGAAACGGACTTGCGCGATATAACGCTTTACTGTTCTCTCTCCTCAAGCTCTTTTTTCCCTTTAAATTATTTTTCAGCCAACATTTCATGAAGTTTCTTCTTTTCCAACCTCAGCAGTTTTGGTCTCTCTAATCAGTCACCTGGGTACCAAAAATTTAGATTTGAAAAAAGGTTTCATCTTAAAAAATGCTTTCACAAGCTTGATATTGTATGGAGCTTAACACAATATTTCCTTATTCAATATGTGGGGATCAGTTAATATGTTAATATGGCTTTGCTCTGAATCTTAGCTCTTCTTCAGAGGCTATGCTGATTCGGCTAAACTCCTGCTCTGCTCATACTGGGGAGAGAACACGACATTGAAATAATAATCAGGTCGGTTAACTCTTACTCACAATTATTGCCTTTTCACATAAAAAAATTGAGAATTTACTTGCGCTTAATTAATTATCAGTGACATACCAGCAAAGCCACATTGTTACCCTATCAGTTTCCTCCCTGGGAAGAAACTGGTGGTGCCAGAGACTCATTGCTCAAAACAAAGCAATACGACCCATCAGACCCTTTGTTATCCTGATGAAATGGAGGAGGCAGCCCCAGGGCCGGGGGCCTGTTCGTGGTTCATTCCTTGACTGATGTGTCCCCAGGGCAGGAGTTGCAAATGTTAGCGGATGAGAGAAAATACAATGAAAAATTCAACCTACCAGCATTTCTTCTCGTACTTGCAGTGACTTCTGAATAAATGGCTGGATCAGAGTCTGTCTTCATAGCCGGTAAGTAAGGACCAGTTGGGAAGTGGGATATCTGCCACCAGCAAAACGTGTCTGTCCCCTAGAGCCAAAACCATTACTCCCATGGGAAGACACGGCTCTGTTTCCATTTGCCCCGGCCACACGGACCCCGGGGAGCTCCACCGGCATATAGCTGAAAATAAATTGTGTGGATGAGGAGGTGGGGGCTGCCTATTATGGAAAAAGCTGTGTGAGCCGGAGTTCCAAGCCCTTGTCATTAAATCCCGACTGTTTGGTCATTAAGTCAGTTTAGGTGTACCCCCTCTCTCAAAATTCAGCGGTGCACACAACAACAAATGGTTTCTGAGAAAGTGCAGAAACTGCACGGGTGTTCTACTAAAAGAAAATGAAAGTATCAAGTGATGACATGCCCCTTCCAGCCTGCTGGTCTCACTGCCAGTATCATATCTCAGCTGTCGTATAAGGGTTGTAGTCCTGGCACTTTCAGAGAGGAAATGGGAAGAAAAAAAACTTCATTTGCAGTTGACAGAAAATCTTGTTTCATGCCTTCAGTCAGAAACAGAATAAGTCTTATGTGCCACCTTGAAAAGAAGAGCCAATCCCAGTACCTGCTCCAGCGAGCTCTGTGCCACTGCTCCTTGAAGCTTGCTAGATTATCCAAATGATCACAATTAATTTAGTTGTGCAATTCCACCCAGCAAGTAATTAGACCTAATGCCTCTGGTCCATGAAGAAGAACCACTCGGAGACTGTAGGTGGTGTTTTGCAGTTTTATAGCAGAGATTCCCCACCCCCGACATCGAAGGCGGATATTAATTGTCTTGTGTTGTCTTGTAAAACTTTTTTTAAAAGATATGCAGCTGTATTTAAAAGATGAGAGTCCCAGCTTTAGGTCTTCAATATGCAAAAAGGCTCCAGATGACCCCTTAAACTGTTTTTATTTAGCGCAGAATAATAATTTGACCCTTGTGAATTGGTGTACCGTCTAGCTATCAGAAACATTAACAACGCTCTTGACTTTTCCGTGAGTCCATTATAGAGGTTCTGAAAATGTGTCAGAGTCCAAAAACCAATAAAATAGCAACTCAAGCAAGGACAAAATGATCCAGTTAAAATTCAGCAAAACCAGATTTTAGACCTCTAAAATGTTCGAGATGGTGGGTACTGCATCAGCTTATGACCCTCTCAGAAAAAAAATGCACCAATTACATTGCCTTAACACCAGAGGGAATGGTCAGAGAAGGGGCTATGCAGAACAGAATGCCTGAATGTAAACGAGGAAAATAGTCCCTTGACATATGGTCTTTAATTTTCCATGGAAGTTCTTCCCCATTCTACTAATGGTCTGCATAGAAGACGAATAAAGGGAACAAAGACACTTCTAGAAATAAAGCAAAAAAAATAAATTGGCATGTTTTTTTAAACGTTCCTTTGTCTAAAAATAGCTAAAAGATGTTGTGCGTAGCAGCCCAAAAATGTATAACTAGGGCTGGGTAAGTTGACGATGCTTTATCTCAAGCTTCTTTTCGTTACATAGAAATGAAATCACCAGATAATGAAGAAGTTGAGCAGAAGAACTATATCGACGGGGGATTTTGCAGGAGAAATTCTTTCATCTCCGCCTACACAGCGTACCTACTGGAGAATTAGACCCCCTTGAGCATGTGATCCAGAAGATGAATGAGGACAGCCGCATACTGTCGACTTACAGCCAGTCCACCCTGGCACACAGAAACCATGAGCACAGCTTTATCCTCTAACCTCTTTTTCATAATGGTCCAACTAATCTTTTACACTTGCCCTTTAAATTCTATCTAGGGGCTGGTAACTACAACCTTAAGGTGTCTTTACCCTGTCTGCAGAGAACTACAGAAAGCTGTGCCAGGAGCTGAAAGGCAAGAACCCCTCTCTGAGGTGGAGTGGTTCCAAGTCCATTTTTTATGTAAAAAAAAAACCTGACCAGAATATACTAACATCCTATAGCTGCTATAGTAAAAACATCCACTGTCAAGGTACTCTCCGAGCCTTTCTGCTCAGCAGGAATCTTTTACTCCATTGGGCTTTTTGAGTGACTCTTTTTGACGGCTACAGAACCTCATGACAGTAATAACATGTTAGTCCATAGCTGTGAACTTTAAGAAAGAGCTGGGAGTAATTTTCTCCACCTTAAGTAAAAACAGTGTTTTTCTTGACGTAGTTTGACAGTGTCCATCCTGTCTAAGGAAAATAATCCATTTGCCACCGGTGTACTTTGCATGTTTTAAGAGAAATAGTGATGCTGAAACAGTGGAAGATATTTGGAGAATACATTTGACGGGGGGCCATGCCAAAAGTATTGGTGGAATCAGAAGACTAATATCTTTTTTTTTTATTGGGCATCTGCTTACACAAAAGGCTGTACTTTCGTTGATTTCATTTCAGTGTAATTGTCATTTGACATCTCACCTTTGTGTGAAATGTAGTGAACAATTGTTGCAAAAACAACCAAGATCTGTACTGTTGTTATTTTTCTTTCCATAATGATTCTTTTTCCTTTTCAAGATGATGAAGATGAAGAAGTAATTATGATGCACACTCTGTGTGCGCCGTACGTCTTAAACTGCACCTGTTCATAGACAATCAAAATGTTCATATTATGTTTTTAAAGAGTACCTATGAATATGCTATGCACTGAAGTTTCATGCTTGCTACGCATTGCAATGTGCCAGTATTCTGGCAAATGTCGAACTTATACTGACATACTTTGTACCTCAATTGATCTGACTCTGTTGCCATCACATGGCAGCTTTAGGAATTACATTCTGACATGTCATGTTCCGTGCTTAACATTTAGTAAGAAACAAGTAACATAAACACAGTAACATAAAGGGCATTTTTGTTATTTGAATAAAAATGTTTTAGGATGTCCGTGCTTAGAGGATGGAGTTATTTCTTTCCTCTAAGGTGTCATTTAAGTTATCCACGACTGTGTTAATCATTAAAAACTAACCAATCCTATTTTATGAATTAGATCTGAATATTTTGATAGGATTTTTTAATCTTTAGATTCAGTTTTTGCTGTTAAACACGGGTCTCTTCAATTGCTTTGGAGATCCAAGTGATGGGTGGTCTGATACTTTTGCAATGACAATACAGGAAACTAAGACTAAAGGCCATTTAGAGTTGGGAAACACAACAAACATTGAAATATTAAGAATATAGAGAAAGCTGATCAGTTGACATTGTTGAAGTGAAGACTCTCCTCATAATGTAGCGATGAATAATGACAAAGTATTCATGGACTTTCGGTTTGCTCTGTAACACACAGTTGTAAACCTGAACAAATGACTGGTTCTGTCACACATTTGAATCAGACAGTCTAAATATCAGTAGTCAGGTTATTAATGGACTTCTTTTCCAGAAGTGAACAAAACCGAACATTGGTGGTGGTATCGGCTTAAAAATTAAAGTGGAAGCTAAAAAAGACAAGTGCTGCACCTCTGATGGATTACATGTTTCCAGCCAAAGGATGTTCTTACAACTGATCCATGAAGCTGTGTATGATTATGTATTCATTTGAATTTTTTTTACTCTTGGAGATGATGGAATCTGCTGGGAAGAGAAATGGCAAGGATTACAAACGAGAAGTGCTGAATGAGAAGATTGACTTCAGGTGGCTTTTCATGTGAGTATATTGCAGTCTGAATTGTTTGCTGATTGAGAGTCGGTGCTTAGAGCCTTCCAGAGAAGATGGCAGAGGTGTAAAGAGTGGGAAAGTGAACAGGCGACACGGTGAAACGCTTTCGCTCTAGCCTGCTCAAATCCAGGACAAAAAATTTGAAGATGATCCAATAAAATAAAAAAATTCTGATGTTTTCACATGCCATTGGGGGATGTTTTGCCTGTGGAAAGCAGGAGCAGAGGTGAGACTAAAAATCAAAGAACAGGAAACAAAGCAAAACTCATATATACCAACACAATCAATGATAACCAATTTTTTACAGGCTAACGTATGGCTGACTAAGCATCTAATCAATTGCATCACCAGTTTAGGAGTGCCTGTCATTAGTCTTTCCAAGCTAACCCACAGTCAGGATAAAGGATGGTCCAATGAGTCACACAGTAAGATTCATGACTTACTGCCCAGGTGGAGCAAGCTTCCCCATTCTGGTTTGCCACCATTAGCACCTCGATCACAGGTCCCAGGTTATCACTGGTTGAATGCAAGGCTGATTTTGGTAGATACAGTTTACTGCTCTCCAATGCTGAATAGAAAACAAAAAAAGAAAGAAACATCATAAAGTGACCAAAATAAATCCAAATGAGATACAGTCAAACTAAATTTAAACAAAAAGAAAAGCAGAAAAGTGAAATAAGTCAAAAGCAGCATTTTCTCAATTCCTTCCAGTTCCCCTCTTTTATTTTGTGTTTTATGTTATTTTTCACAGATTTTTTTTTTTTCTTTGCAACACGCATCGTTAGAGAGCCTAAACCGATTTGACATGTGGGCCTTGATGTTGTTTGTCATGTCACATCCTTTGAAGCTCCCTGCCGTGTGTATTTGGAGTCACCTGCAATGGGGAATTTTCTCTATACCTACCCCAATATTGTGTTCAAAGGGAGATAGGCATCATCCTTTAGTTACAGTATTTGCATCATGGCAAAAGGCAAAAGGACCTCTGTAACTGATAGTAAGATCTGAGACATTTTGTGCTTCCAATGGTTGTTGAAGAATACATACAAATTTAAAAGAATGGTTTCAGTTTCAACCAGAGAGTTACTATATTATTTATTTTAATTCTCTTTTAGAAAGAAAGTGAAATCTGTTTAAACGGTGCGTTAATGGGCAAAATTATCACATTTTGCCACTGATAAAAATGCTGTTTTTGGTGATTATTCCCATTATTGGGACTTTGTATGCTGGTCCAAAAGCAAACATACTTGCCCCAGTTTTGGCGAATCATAACAAATGTGAAAATTAAATTACATTTCCATTTATTTTCAATAATGTAAATAATTGAAAAGTACTTATTTCCACTCCTAAAAACTGTATGCTGTAATTTCACATCTTCAACAATTTATCCAAAAAATAAAGAAAGGGATAAATAAAAACCCTTTCCCACCAGAATTAGTCTTTCACTTGCAATGGTTCCACCTTCTTCAGTATGCATCCCTTTTTTCAATGAAAGGCTTCTATTAATTAGTCAATAAATCTCCTTTGTAAATTGGAATAGATGAGATTGAAACTTTACGCCAAAAAAATCTATATTCTTTCATTTTTAGAGCGAGTATATTGTCTCTGATTGCACCAAACTGAATTGGGCCAATAGCCATGTCAATTTCCTCTGCGAAGTTGGTTTGTCCTGAAGATTTGAATGCAGCAAAGCGACACATCAGCTGAGTTGGAGCCAGAGGTCACGTGACTCCCGTTAACACGTGACAGTGTGGAACTGAGCATCATCATGGCCGCAGCACCGCAGTAAGTCTGCTTTTGGCAGAAATGGAAAACTATTCAAAATTTTAAATCAGCCAAAAATGATTTAATTAAGAGTTGTGTTTGTATTTGTAACCTAACCGTCGCTTTTATGACAGTAAGCCGAGCGCGTGAGCTTTAGCTAATTTTCTGGTCGTGGTTTACGACATGTAATAAACATTACGAACGTTATCCTCAGGAAAAATCAATCCTTTTGCTTGAATTGAACGATTATTCAATAAGGTGCACTCTTAGTAAGACATTTTTGTGCTTTGAAATAAAAACTGAACTGAGACGGAAGTTGCTCGACGTGCAGTTTAATTTTGTCAAAACCGTTATTCCTAAACTGAGAAGTTACCGGAGGTTAGTTTTGGAAAACAGTTAGTTTCTATGAGAATTATTATCATCGCTGATGTTTGTTTTAAGAGGCATCAGAGTGGAATTCTCTGCTTTGGGGTAAACTGACAGTGTCTGACTGACTAAATTCAGACGAAGAACTTCTACTTTGACATAAGAAATCACGTTTGACTCAGTTTCCTATCTGTAATCTGTAATCTGTTTAACTGAACTTATTTAACCCACGTAAAACATTAATATGTATTGAAATACGTTGAACTGATTTTAGGTGTTCAGCAGAATTTGGAATGGGCGTGGTCAGTCTCGGTCATATGATTTGACAGGAGAAGTTAAGACATCCTCAAAACTTTGGCAAAAGTACTTTGAAATGTGTTTTTCGGACCTGTGTTTAAGTTTATCCGTTTATTTATTTGGACTTTATTGCAGTCAAAATTGCACATTTTCAGTTTTATGAAGCAAATATTAAGGGACTGACTGTTGGACTAGCCTATTTCAGACTGATCTCTGCCCTCTAGCTGCTACACATTACCACGGTTTAACTTTTAACTTGCTGATCCATGAATACATTTAATTATATTTCCTTTATCCTCAGTCATTAGTGGACGAAAGCTGTGCATGACTGTATCTACCTATTTCATTTACTGCCCCCCCAACGATGAGGTTGTTCTGTCCCCGTAAAGAAACACACAGACATGTCAACTCAGTGAATTATGCGGAGCTCCTTAAACCATAAAAGTCAGGGAAAATGTGGATTAACCTTTGGTACAGCCCACTAGAATGAGATATTATGTGCTTTTCTCTATCTTATCAGTTGAGCCACAGACCAGGATTTATATCTAAGTGCTCATCAGTTACAGTGCTGCCTATCTGTTCTGTGTTTTAGGACTTAACTGCTTCTTAAGAGATGCTGAGCTGTGGTTAATTCATCTCCTCGCGATAAAATCAGCCAAACAATTCCAGAGAATTGCTGCCTAAACTAGTCTTTTTTTTTTTCTTTTTTTCCCCCCCATTTAAAAAAAAAATCTAATTAGCTGTCTTTTCTACATTAAGACCTGCTTTCAAAAAAAGGATTTGGAGCAAATAAACCAGACTGCGTAGCACCATCAGCAAGATGGTGCCGGAGTACAGGGTGTTTAGAATCATGCTGGAGGTCACAGTTTGAGGAAGAGAATAAAAATGGTCATTGGAAGTTTAGCGTAACTGGATTCATCGTGTTTTCACAGCATTCATTCTGTTGAAGCAGGAACTGACATTCAGGACATGATCAGTGATTGATGATAATGATGAACAGTTTTCAGGGACTACCTTTTAGTCTAACTAATAAAAGCTATGATACTTACCAAGGACGTGCTCCAAAATACTTTTGTCTTTATTCCCTGAAGATGTTTCGTTGTTGATTTTATTAGTTTAATTTCTAGGCAGTTTGAAATAGTAAATTATGTTATTCAAAGAGAAAATTGCATACTAATGATGTGGCCCCTATTTATAATAACAAAACTTGAATGTCTGGTGTGGTGGTCAGAGTCAGTTTGGTCACAGTGGAGCTTTTTAATCCCACAAATAACCTGTCAGTTGCCTCCCTGATCTCCTCTGAAACATTGTGTCACCTTGTCCTTTTAGACCCGTCTACTGGCTGGGTAATGACACCCTGAGGGTCTCGGCTGCCCTTTTTGCCGAGAACCGCAGAAGATTGTGCCAGGGGCTGAAAGCCAGAGAGGATGTTGTGTCTCAGTCGGTTGTGGTGCTGCAGGGGGGGGAGCAGAAGCAGAGGTACTGCACCGACACAGACCTTGTCTTCAGGCAGGTGGGTTGGCTGTAAATTGACTTTTTTCTTTTTCCTATTTCATGTTTTTCTTTTTAATCCATGTTCCCCAAACCTAATCTGCTGTCCCCTGTGCTTTCCCTGGCCTGGTTCTCTTCTCACGTTGCTGTCCCTGATCACTTTGGAAAAGTGGCCAGAGGGTATTTGAATTTGATCAAAGTGTAAAGGAAATGTCAAGCTTGGAGCTTCTCTGGCACTCTGGATCTCCTCGCCTTGTCACAGATGTGTAGAATTCATGTTGCATAAAAGTTGCTTGTGTCTGCTTATTTGTTTGTTCTCACAGTATCGTGTAAACCTATCACTGTCATTTGTTTTGTCTGGAAATAGATGGATTATGATTGTCACGATTTTATCACAATGTGACAAAATCCCTAAATGGTCAAGTCCAGGAGGCATTTCTCATATTTCTCATATTGACTCTTTGAACGGTGCAGGAATCGTTCTTCCACTGGGCCTTTGGAGTGACTGAGCCTGACTGCTACGGAGCCATTGATGTGGAAACGGGCAAATCCATTCTTTTTGTTCCCAAACTGCCTGAAAGCTATGCCACTTGGATGGGAGAGTAAGTCACAACTGTCCTCAAAAACCTGTTTACACGGCCAACACATATAACCAGCTCAACCACAGTTCTAAGCGGTGAATTTCAGCCATGTTCTCCACCTTTAGATCCTGTTTGTCCTTAACGCATTGAAAATACAGTCAATAATCACCTCAGTGACACACAAAACCTGCTCCTCTAATTCCTTTCAGAGGATTAACTTAATTTGTAACGCACAACATGCTCATGCACAATCCTGATTTATGTACCTTTTTTGGGTGTGTACAATATCAAAGCTGCAGAGATTTTAAAAAGACTTTGAAGATGGTTTATATTTTTTCTGTATGTGACATGCTCAGAAAATGTTTGCTATGGATAATATTCCCACTTTGTTTCCTAAATACATCACATTTATTTAAGTACCAGTATTCAGCATGATTAACCTGTATAGTCTAATATTCCATCCTCGGTATGATCAACTACATTTCCACCTTTAGACTGTGAAGTGTCTTTGTTCAGCTCAGGCTTCAGTCGAGACCTTTCCGTGCAAGCAGCAGGTCTCCCGTGGACCAGCTCCTGGCAGCTTCCTGTGAACCCTACCTAATGTGGAAAAACACCCTGCGTGCATCTGTGCTCGCTGTGCTCGGATTCATGAATTCTGTGTCTTGCATTTGCCCACAGGATCTTTCCCAGGGAGCACTTCCTGGCTAAATACGCTGTGGACGAGGTTCAGCACACCTGTGATGTAAGTCTGCCCGCGTGCGTCTTTTCAGCCTCTCTGATCTGAGCTCTCCTCTGCCCGAACCGTCACGTCGGGCCATAGAGCAGTGACTCCAGGCAGCTCAGCCTGTTTCCTTTTGATATCACGTCTGAACGACAAAGGTCATCGTTCTTTTATCTGCACCTCTGGTAGAGATTGCTTTTTGTCCATTGGGTCATAAATCCACTTCTAAACCCATATTGTAACTTTGTTTAAGAGCAGATGGGACTAGGGTTATTGTAGTTAAACGTAATGTACAAAAATCCCTGGGGAGTTCATAAAAACCGAGGACAAAGATTTTGTAATCCTATAAAACGAACAAAAATGTATCAAATTATGTAATTTTTCATGAAACAAAGTAGCTCATGTTGAATTTAATGGCCACAGAACACCAAAAAATATCTGGACAAAGTCTGTCAGTGTTGGCTGTTGCGTTAAACCGTGTTTTAAAAATCACTTTATAAATAATTAAGAATGATTATGTTATTGAATTGTTTTCGTTATTATTTTGTAATGAACTCTGGCAGGTATCAACCATCAATAATTCAGTAGGACTGAGATTTACCTCAACCGCCCACCCTGAAAATAATAGCCCCATTTTTAGGTCACGCTTAACTGCCTGCTCTGAGCGTTTTGGGGAATTGTTTATTAGTGTCGACAGCAGACACCCCAGGGAGCAATAGTGGTGCTCTGACAGCTCCGCAGCTATTTTGGAACAAATTGAGAATACCATTTTTCAGAGAACACGGAAAGAGCTTTAGCCAGTCAGAAAATGAAGGGGGCTTATATTAAAAAAATCACCATTTTAATTCTCATTTCTAAACTTCAGCTTTTTCATTATTCATCCTGTGATACTGTCTCTGCACCTGTCTGACGTGTGGGATTTATTCATCGGGCACTTTTTCAAAGACGCACTTTGTATATAAAAAAGAATCGTATCATTATGCACCACTTAATCTCCTCTTAAAAATCTGCCAACCAGGTTTCCTAAGAAACAAATGCCTCAGTACACAGTGGCTGTTAGTTTGAATATTCAGTGCAGTTGTGGCCATTCTTTTCGATTAACTTTAGATGGAAGTAGATGAAAACCACTCCGAGGTGAGCCTTTCAAATTACTATGGCCATAGATGCTTAGCCAGTAAGGATCTCCACAGATTTAATTATTCTTTTATCGCTCGCTGAACGAAAAAGTTGACAGTTTCTTGTTGATTATTGACTGGTCGGGCTGATTGTGTCTCTTGAGATTGCAGAGGTAAGGTCAGGTTGAAAATGTCCAGGGAAACACCAAATTACTCATCACTACCTTCCTCTGCCATTTGGTAAAATTGGCATTCCATTTAGAGTTCAGTGCCAGCGAGTTTAAAAATGAAATAAAAACTTCCTACAGTCAGAGTTGAGCTTTACTAATTGTTCTCTCTCTGTGCAGATTGTTGATGTCCTGTCCAACCTGAAACCTGCAGTCCTCCTAACACTGGTAATTAGCCTTGAATTATACACGATTGTATTTAATTGTATGTAGATTTCCCGGTTCCTCAAGGGCCGATCATCACAGTAACCCTTCAGACTATGTGTTGGAGTGTTTAAAAACTCCCTTTACTTTTGACATATGTTTTCAACATTCGTAATGGCTTTGTTTGCTTATGGTGATATTTTTTCTGCTTGTTTTCTCCCCGCAGCGAGGACAGAACACAGATAGTGGGAGCATCTGCCGAGAGGCCTCCTTTGAAGGCATTAGTCGGTGCGTTTAATTGGCATTGATTCGCAGGAACATTATTAGACTTTTCCATTTATAACCAAAGCTGCTTCACACTATTATGCACGCCGATTGTTGCTGATTCACCTGGTTCTGAATATAATCTGACTTCATGAAAATGAACCTTCTCTTTTTTTTCCAACAGCTTCCAAGTCAACAACACTCTCCTGCACCCGGTTATTGTGGAATGGTGAGCCAAATGTTTTTTCAAGTCACATTTTCACAAACACCATCATTCTATCTGTTCAGTGAGGTAATTGTATGTCTTTAGTCAGAAAAGAGGAGTTTTTTTTTTTTCATATCCCTCTCTGTCAGAGATCGGTCTGCATGGGTTTCATGGGCTCCGTGCTCGCCTGCTTGTCTTTGGCATTAGAGTGTGCTCCCTCCTGATGAATAGACTTTTCTAGAAATTAGGAGGAATGCTTTTTTGTCACACCTCAAGGAAAACAGAGTAACTGAAACCTCTGCCTCCTTTCTGGCCTGAGTTAACAGGGTCCTCTTTATTTTTTTTGTCCTTAAAATATGGTTTAGGTTTTTAAGCTGAGTTTTGCTTCTCTCCCTGGTCATTTTAAAAGTTCAAACACACCAAAAAAAAAAAAACAGACTTATTGTTTTGGGATAAAACAAGTTTGTGTTAAGTGCTCAGTTTTTATCATTATTATCAGCTTGGATCAACCAAAGACATAAAATAGAGTTGATCTCCACAGTGGCTACCTTAATCGGACCTCATAATTTAGAGAAATGAATAGAATAAAATAATAAGTGCCTATATTTCAGCCATGCTCTACAAATGTTGCCTTAGTTTAACTTTGAGTTAGCAGTGAGCAGTGCTGTTAGTGTGAGACAGCTGCTCTGCATCGCTCTGTTTGTGCTTGCAGCCGTCTGACTAAAACTGACATGGAGCTGGAGGTGCTGCGCTACACCAACAGGATCTCCAGTGAAGCCCACAAAATGGTAAAATGCTTCTCAATGAAGATCCTTCTTGTTTTTCTCTTTAACTTATTCAACTCAACTTGGTTTAGGTTGTTTACAGTTTGTGGTGTCCCAGCAAAACGCTGTTGGTTTGAAATCGCATAGTCGGTGCTGTCTTTTTACAATTGGTGGGCTCTTGTGAAAGAGCCGGTCTCATAACTCATGGGGGGGATGTCATTCTGGCTAATCAGGCGCCTGGCGTCACCTTTTCAGTCTGACTCGGCCTGCTGAGTGTGCTAAAACTCTTAATGGAAAACCAAAAAGATGGTGTGGTGCTGAGTAGATGAGTGGAAAAAGGCCCATAAGACAAGAAATGTCCATTTTGAGACAAGAAATGACCTCAAAAAGCAAACAGATACTTATATTAAATCTGCTTGCTTCTTCCCTTATGATGATGTATTTGTTTGGTTTGGTTTATTGGACGGTGGAGAAGGTGAACGGTGATGTTGTCTGTCCGAGCCTTAAAAGCCCCAGTGGGGGTTTTTCTCTTTGCTGAATGTTTTTTTTGTTTGTTTGTTTATTTTTGGTGGGAGCTGACTTTGCAGTTTTACACTGGGGCCAAACCTAGATTCCAGTCTAGCCTTAAACAGTTTGAACAAGTCACGTCTTGAAGTTTGTTTGTTTTTCTAAAGTTATCACTCTGTTGCAGATCATGAAGAATGTGAAAGCTGGACAGAAGGAATACGAAATGGAGAGGTAAGCCTGGGAATTATTAAGCAGAAGCATTCATATTCGAATGTCATATTTGGCCACAGGTCTCTTGAGCTTATACTCTCTTCAGTTCTTTGTCATTCTTATTTAATTTGACACATTTATATAGACTTCTGATTGGAAAGCGTTTGAAACCACCACTGTCAGGTGGATTGTTTCTCCCAAAGACACTTCAACGGCTTTTTGTGTGGAGCCACAGCCACCTCCAAAATATCACCCTGGTCAAATAGAATAACAGGGATAGTTTAACTTTTTATTGTATTTAATGAGACAAGAGCAGCAGGTTATGAGGTCCTGTGCTACACCAACAGGATTTGGTCTAATTGGTGTGGCTGATGTGTTTGACCATTAAAATGATTAAAGAATGAGTTCAGATTAAGTTCTTAAGTGGCACGGAGATGGGCAGAGCTCATTAGTGTTCAGACTATGTGGCTTGGACTAATAAAGGGTTGTTGTTGTTTGATTTTTTTCTAATTTCTACACAGCCTGTTCCAACATTACTGCTACAACAAAGGAGGGATGCGCCACACCTCGTACACCTGCATCTGCGGAACGTGAGGCTCTATCCTACTCTATCATTACACTTCAATGATTGCATGCTAAATAAAGCAGCATGTGGATGGAGTTCGTTTTTTATCGAATATGGATTGGTGACCATTGGATACAACTTGTTTTGATGCATTTTGTTTGTATGCCCACCAGTGGGAATAATTCCTCCGTCCTCCACTACGGCCATGCTGGAGCTCCCAATGACAAGACCATTGAGGATGGGGACATGTGGTGTGTAGTTTTGAGTCATTTTCAAATCTGTTTTTGAATTGTCTCCAGTAAACTGAATCCAATAGTGGGTGAATCGCCGCCCCCCATCGAAAACGCAGTGACCTTCTGTGGATTTTCCACCTGTGACATAATCAGCGGGAGGTGTGAACCCAGAAGCCCTCTAGAAATAATTTGACCCAATCTGCCCTGATGTTTTGTCGCCTGCAGTCTGTTCGACATGGGTGGGGAGTACTACTGTTACTCTTCGGACATCACCTGCTCCTTCCCAGCCAACGGAAAGTTCACTCCAGACCAGAGGGCCATCTATGAGGCTGTCCTGAAATCCTCCCGCACCGTCTTGGCTTCCATCAAACCAGGTTATCATCTCCAATTTAAAATAAAAAAAAGATGCTTTACTGCATTGGGAGGAAATATTTTGCCATGTATGTAAATGATAGCAAAATGATTTGGTCATTTTCTTATAACTCAGTAATAACAGTGTCAACAACACTGATGTCTCGGCTCACCTGTGGGTTTTCTTTACTTTGATTGTTTTTGACCTCACACCAGTTGGGCTTAAACAAACTTCGAAGGAGTCGGTGGAGTGATTGAGGTCATAAAAACCTTTCAGTGGTGGGTTTACACCCTCTCAGACACTTCCTTGAGCAAATGAAAAGGCTGGTTGTAAATCAGGATGTAAATCAGGCTTTTAAAGTCACAGTCATGTGTGTCTCAGAGACTTGTTTTGGATAATTTAACCATTCAACAACATTCCAGGTCATAGCTGGTTGACGAGGTTGAAATATGACCAATGTTTTTGGCTTAAAGGTTTAAAGATCGGTTCTTAAAGTGTCCAAAATAAGACCATTGCTGTAAAGTCGGCTATCCTGCTATCATAAAAATGAACCTAAATTATGTATTTACTCGTTCTAAAGGTGTGAAGTGGACCGAGATGCACCGCCTTGCCGACAAGGTTCACCTGGAGGAGCTGGTGAAGATCGGGATCCTGGTGGGCAGCGTGGAGGACATGATGAAGGTTCACCTGGGCTCCGTCTTCATGCCCCACGGCCTGGGACACCTGCTGGGCATCGACGTGCACGACGTGGGAGGTTACCCCGAGGTGAGGGCGCGCTCCGGAGTGCGGGTTTGGAAAAAAACGGTCGGTCAGTGAGACAGAAGCCGGAAATAACAGTCCCGGCGCCTGAATATTGATGCGTCATCAATAATACACAGACAGCGAGGTGCAGGAGTGAGGGAGGAACACAGAGAGGTCAAGCAGCGAGAAGAAGTTGAGGATGAGGGCAGGAGGGAAGGGAAGATGAAATGTTGTCTGAACTCTGAGCAGGGATGTTTTTCTTCTGTGGTGGGGGGATTTGCAATGCTACACGGTTCTGACAGAAAAACAAAAGGAGAAGTTAACCCACAGGGTTTCAGAGTAGCTGCTGCTCAGTTTGACGCATCGATGAGGTTTTACTTGTATTTTCCTTCTGCCTGAGGGAAACACTTACATAAAATCCGATACAGTCGGGGGTTTAGGGGCTGACGTCCATGCTCGTCCTGTAAGGTGTCCGTAATAGCGGTGCTCACCTTAAAAATCCTGTGACGTTGTGCTGAAGGGGGTGGAGCGCATCGACGAGCCCGGGCTGAGGAGTCTCCGAATGGGCCGGCTGGTGCAGGAGCGCATGGTCCTCACGGTGGAGCCCGGCATATACTTCATCAACCACCTGCTGGACCAGGCCCTGGCCAGCCCCGCCCAGAGCTGCTTCATCAACAACCAAGTGCTGGCTCGCTTCCGAGGCTTTGGAGGGGTCAGTATGCCTGCACAGTTTCGCTTGTTTGCGTTTTAACAGGAGAGTGGAGGTAATAAACTGCATTACGCGTCTGTGAATAATCAATTTTTTACAACATGGGAGGTCAGAGAGGGTCATGAGATGCATCTGCTCCTAATGCAAAATCCAGAGGGAAATGTGGAGTTTTAAAAATATTTTTGATTAGCAAATCCAGCTCACATTAAGTTCTTTATTGCTTATGTTTATGTACTTTTTTTCTGCACTGAGTTTGCCTTTGACTGCACCCGGCCGGGGGGTCTTCTGAGGGTCACTGACCACTGACTGCTGTGCGCAGGTTCGCATTGAAGATGACATAGCTGTCACAGCCACCGGCGTGGAGCTGCTGACCTGCGTCCCTCGCACGGTGGAGGAGATTGAAGCGTTCATGGCCGATTCTGCAAAAACCTTCAGCCCAGTCGTTTGAAAATGCCCATAAAGTCTGGGCAGAGCACGCTGCAATGTCATTAATTATCTCAGATGATCATCAGTAAAACGGATGTTGTTAATATGCAAACACAGTCAAGATTATTTCTGCGTAATAAACCTGGTGGTCGTGCCTCTATCATTGTGATTTGATTCCCATAAGCAGTATCCAAGTTAAGGGACGGACCCTACTTTAATATATTGACTTTTTTATGCCTCCTTAGATCAATGGTTTTTCATTTTGGTAAAACAAATCTTTCTTATTCTGACAATTTTCTTTTTTGTAAACATTTATTCTTGCAAAAAAAAAGCTGTGAAATTGAATAAAATTAATGACAATTTAAAATCATGCAGTAGAGATTTATTTTAAGAGTGACTCCAAAACGTATTCGATATGTGAAATGAGTCGGTCACAGAGCGAGTCCATAGGGATGCTCTGGATTGACCCCAAGATATTCAAAATTTAGCTGCTGCTGAAATGATTTTAATGCAAATGATTACTTTTACTCTGCCACATTGTTCCAGTCTTCATGCTAAATTTTTATTGAAATAAAAAACAATATTTGAATACTGGTCAAATTGAAAGAAATATCTTACATTTTTTTATGATAAGAAAACTTTTAAAGAATTTCCATCGAGTTTTTTTATCATTTGTAAAGGCTTTTGTAAGTGAACCAAAAGGAAGTATGACCACAGCCGTATATGTTGATACAGATTCTCAGTCAGCCCAGACTTCATCATTAAGCCCCTTTCTAATTTGGTGCTCTTGCCCTTTGAGAGCCGTCTACAGGCCGGTAATGACAAACCCGAAGGTGTCTGCAGCGCGGTTTACAGAGGGCTGCAAATAGCCGGGCCTCTAATCATCCCTCTCATTTGCACCCTCAGGCAAAATGCTATTTGTCTCATGAGACTCATATTGGAGGTCCATCTGCATAAAAAAATCCAATTCCTTTTTATTTATCTACCATAACATGCAAATGCTTCAAATAATCTTCCAAACATGGATATTGTGTGTCTTCATCATTCTAGACTATAAAAGTGCTAAGTTAAAACCCGTACAACACATCAATGCACCGGGATCCTCTGAGGCTGAGAAACACTTTAAGAGCTATTGATTTTGACTTCATATTGTCGATCAACCGCGAGCTGTTCACGCCACATTAGGGCCGTTCATTTCTAGTGCTGCCACACGGATAAGGTGTCCCTCCCTGCATGGATGTGTACAGTGAAAACTCTTAATCAGCAACTCGCTGAGCACTTTGCTCAAGGTTTCCCCTTCTTTTGGTTCAGCCAACAGCTCAGCAGGTTAGTAGATTGCAAAAAAACAACAAAAAGATGACCTAAAGCATTTTCCTGACAATATAGATACTGCAAATAGTATATGTTGCAACTTGTTTGTATTGCCTGTGCCGTGTAGATGTGCATGGTTTTGACTCTGTTGCCATCACATGGAAATTTTAGGGATTACAGCAGAAGAAACAGATGTGACATCTACAGGAGCTTGTCATATTTTTTGCCTGTCCGCAAGGTTCACAGTTACCATTGTCTTTCAGAAAAACCTTCCGGCCCCTGGCGTTAGACACATTTAGCTACATAATCCTCCCTCTATAAATGCAGCGCTGCTATAGTTTAATATCCCCCAGCGTGCAAAGGGGGATATTACGCTGTATCATTTAAAGGCTAATGAATGGATTAGTGGCTCTTACGCTTCAAACATCATCTCTCATGCGACACTGGCCTGTGCTTATCGGAGATGTATTTTTTAACCTAATTACAGATAGATTGTGATAGATTATGATTATTAAATGATTTTCAGTCTGGATGTCAAATCTACATAAAGCCTGTGGTAAAAATCGGATTCAAATTATTCATGTTTTCATGAAGCAAATGAAGCAATTGGTGCATGTCGCTGCTTTTGAGCCGAGCCTGCAGGTAGTTCTGGTGGAGCCTGGAATATACTTCATTACATACTGTACATGCTGTAGCAGACCCTGGACAGTCCTGCAGACAGTCATGAGTTGGCTTAGTTAAAATGATTAAATCAAGGATTAATTAGGGGGGGTTAAAGGTCATATTTAGTGATAAAATGCATAAGAAGTATTAATAATTCCAGTGTTCCAGCACATTGATTTAGAACTCTGTGGGCTGTATTCATACTAACAGACAGGAGAATCTATCAGGCCTGTCTCACATTTCTGTCTTAAATCAGATTTTCACTGTGTGTCCATAAACAGAACTACAACTAGGTAAACGGAAGTCAGTCCAGGAATAATTAATCATTTCCTGGAACGCACGAGGGACCTGCACTGAGCTCACTCACTTGTTTTTACAGGTACAAAACAGTTGGATGTTTTCTACTTACAAGAACCCCCGTCCTCAGTGTGTTGTGATACCGCCTCTATCCTCTAGATGGATGTCGTGAAAATGTTTTCTGCATAGGAAAGAAAGCACACGACGAAAGGCTGCAGTTGAATGTACAAGGGAGGTTTGACTACATTTATTTCAGTTACTCTACTGCAAAATTCCTTGTCAAAATCAACTGCTCAACATCTGGACATTTTAAAATACACGGAACAGCAAAACGCATACAAACGCTGGATATTGACTGCCTGATGTTTTAGTTTCAAGCTTTGCTCGGTTTTCTGAGAAGGAATGGAGACTCGATTGCCTGAGTACTAGAGGTTTTTCTGAACTTAGATTCGGATATATATGCTGTACTTGTAAATAACATCTAAGTTTGAAGTGCTTGGAGGGGATTTATAAAAAATACATAACAACAATGCTAAAGAAGTCAAAGGTAATGGGCAAAGTTTCGTATAAAGATGGAAAGAGCTGACATAAGGCCTTAAAAATTGGTTTATATACAAGGTATAATACAGCAAATCAAGATCTGTAAAATACTGTTATTACACTTAAATGTTCATTCTGGGGTAATTATGGATAATCAGGAATTGTACAGGCGTGGAATGCTCATATCCCACAGGGAACGACGTATATACAGTTTTTTTTTTCCCCAACTGTAAAAGAAAAAAACATTAGGGTTTTTGAGCATCTGCTTCTGCCATCCAGCAGGCTGAGGAATGCCTCCATCCAGCTCAGGGTTTGTGATTGGCCCAGAAGCAGCCCAGCCAGAGAGAAGCCACCGGTGGCCGATAAACCAGCATCCTCTCTCGGGATCCACGTACATAAATAAAGAGAGCTCTTTTACTTTTGGGTCTCTGCGGAAGAGCTGAGAACCATTAAAGGCTAAACGACCTTTATCATTCATTCTGTCAGACATACATATATACATATACACACGTGTTATAAGCTGCTTCACCACCTCGTGGCATGGGGGAGAAAACAGGTGGTTTGGCAAGCGGATGTGTAATTCAGATGTATTTATAATACATTATAAGCACCATGGAGGATCTGAGGCATTTGGTATTTGTCTCTTGGGACATAGGTGTGAATGTGCTATTGTTGTCATGTTTGGTGAGGTTAGATGTGTCTGGTCAAAAGTGAGATTGATAGAAATTGATCCTTGTTGAGGCAGCAACAACTTCATGTGATATCATTCCCTGAATCTAAGAGCCATATGTAAAGAGCCATATATGAATATAGTCTTCGTATAAATACATGTGTTCCTTAAATGGATTTTACTGGTGCCGTCCTCTTCATAAGTAATCCACAAGAAGCTTTATCGATGAATATCGGCTACAAGCTGTTCCCTGGGCGGAAGATTCAAGATCCAAGACGTTTTCAGACCCCCTCGTTTGCTCCTGATCTCTTCCGTTCCACCTGGGTTCTGTTCATCCAGCAGCTGGATTCTGTTCCTCGCTGTTCTTTTCTCCAAACAGCTGCATCCATATAAACCACAAAAAAAAAAAGATTCCTTCAGTTTTCATCCTTGGCAGCCTCAGAAGTGTTCGTCCTAGTAAAAAGGTCTTGCCAGTCTAGTTCTTTTGATGGGCTCAGAGCCAGAGTGCCTTTTTTTAAGTGGGTTTAGGGTCTGGCCCGGCATGGAGCCCAGGGACCCGCGCAGAGAGTGCTAGCTGCGTCCCCGATGGATCTTGTGTCTGTGGGCCCCTCGCGAGCACGAAGCACAGCATGTGGTCTTGTAGTAATCGTACACGCAGAGGCGAGCCTGGACCACCACGTTGCAGTTAAAGTACTTGTCCCTGCAGTTCTCATCTGAAACAGAAAATGGAAGTTTGATCTGACATCATTACGCCCCAGCAAATACTCGATACTTTAAGCAATGCCTAAAAATCCTGAGCCAACCCTCATCTCTGAGCCCGACTTTCTTGTAAGTCGTCTCAATAGTCTCAAAAGTTTCCCTTAGAACGTCATTATTTCCTCTTTGTTTAAGGAGTTACTTAACATGCTCCTATTAAACATGCAAAACACTTAGCTCAAGGGATGAGCCAGTGTTAGCTTAGCAACATGCCAGGTCTCAACAGTTTTCTGGTGGCCATGAACTTAATTTGTTTTAACCACCAGATGATTAAAAATAGCTATTATCTGAGAACTTGGTATATCTCAACATGATCTGTAGCATGATCTTAGAAATCAACAAATATGTTCTAAATTATAATAATAATATTAAATAATGGGTTAAAAAGACCAGAGAGACACATCTTGCCCCACAGTCTTTGCAGAAATCCCATCAGAAAAGGTCTTCCAGGGAAGTGTGGCAATCAAAAGGCTGTTCTTTAAGCATTGTGGATAACTTACTAGTTAGGGTAACTCTGTTTTCCCTATTTTACATATAATTCCCATTCCTGTGCATATGACAAAGGAGCGGAGGGTTGCTGTGAAGTGGGCTGAACATTCCAGTCACCGTGTGCTGGCGAGGATGCTAAAATCATCAGGCGACACCGTGAGTCAGTACTATTCCAGACAACATGATAAAAGCGGACTGACCTATGTGGGGCGTGCAGGGCTCCGGGTTGCAGTCCTCCCTCTCCGCCGGCCTCAGCTGCTCCTCGCAGCCCTCGCCGGACATCATGTCGTCCGACAGACAGCGCACCTCCCGCACGCGGAAACCTCCCTCGCATGTTTTGGAGCACTGGGGGGGGCAAAAGTCAGGGACAACCCGTCACTAACAAAACTCCACCGCCACAGCATTCTTCCTCTTACTGCGTCAGCACCAGGAGGGGGCTCCACAGGTCATCAGATTTTTTTTTTTTTTTTTTTACAGAAAACCACTTGGACAGCACACCAAATCCAGAGAGCTTCTAAAGGGAAAAACCCCTAAACATTTGCGTACTCGGAGCACAGGGAGCCTCCTGTCTTACTCACAGCACTCCAGTCGGTGTGGTACCACTTGGCTCCGCAGGCCTTCAGGTGGCAGCTCTGCTGACCGAGCGGCCGGTCCAGGGAGGAGCACTCATAGGGCGGCATGACCGCGAATCCTTCGTCCGACCTCGTTAGGCATGCCACGGACCTCTGCTGGCTGCCTGCGCCGCACTCTGCAGAGCACTAACACACGTTCGGATGCAGTTAGAAAAAACAGAGGCGATTAAAAAAATAAACATTTTAAAACACAACATGGCTGAATTTAAAGTAACGGCCCAGGCTAGTCCTCATACCTGGCTCCAGGGGCCCGTGAACCACTCCATGCGATTCTCACAGGGGCCGTTGTTGCAGACCTGAGAGTCTGCAGGCCGCTCGCTGCCACACCCCTCCAGAGGCAGGCTGCTGATGTGGTTGTTCAGGCAGAGGACGCCCCGGGTTCGAACGCCCATCCCACATTCGGTGGAGCACTATCGAGGATGTGGGGGAGAAGTCTTTAAATAAATGTGTCACTTCGATCAGCAAACATCCATCAACAGCCAGTTTTGGGGGGAAATATGGAAAACAAACAGGCCGCTGAAATGTTTATATAAGCCAAAGGGTGAAATACATATTTATCTGTTTGTTAACTTTCACATCTAAGGCTGATTTAGTGGTTTACACATTTCAAGGCTAAAATCTGAGTCACTCACTCCCCTTGCGTTGAGTACCTTTCAGTGTTTTGTAGAACTTTCAGCGGCTACAGCAGGAGGCAAACTAAATCTGTCCAACGCTCTTTTACATTTTCCGTCTCTGAACTTAAAGACTCCAGCCTGATTAGTCCTGCTGACGTCTAACGTTAGTGGAAAGCAGGGAGAAAAAAATAATTTGCTGGGCGCTTTTGCTGGTTCTGTTTTCTAATTCTGTCTCTTCTCTTATCCTCTGTCAATTCATTTGACTTCTTCCCAATTCTCTAACTTTCCTATCGGCTATGTGATCCTATCCGTCAGAGAGATCTTCAAAGCAGCAGCTTCACATTGGCTAATAGGGGTTCAGAAACAGAGGGTCGACGTCGGGCCGGCAGCATACAACAAGCATCTCTGTTAGGAATGGATGAAAGATGCTGTGTCCCGCTGACGCCTACCCTGTTCCCCCACTCGGTGTAGAACCAGCTCTTGGCGCAGGTCCCCATGTTGCAGTTCTCCACGTCGACGGGCCGCAGATTCATGTTGCACTCCTCGTCCGGAACAAAGTCGCCCACGTTGCTCACACAGCGCACCTCCCTCGACCTCTGACCCAGCCCACAGGGCACGGAGCACTAGGGAAGACACAGGCAGCTCCATTTGAAGTCCGTATCTTTGATGAGTGAGCTCTGTAGCACAGAAGCAGCCTCATATTTTTGCCTAAAACAGATTAAAAAAATGAAACCTCGGTCGCTGATATCAGCGCCGTTTGGGATGCAGATTCTTAAGGCGATAACTATAACTGAATAGGACGAAGGAACTCAGTCACGTTGCGGCTGACTGCTGCCACTCACAGCGGTCCACTCGGAGCGGATCTGCCACTCACTGCAGATCTTCAGCTGGCACGTGCTGGCCGTTTCCGGTTGCTCCAGGTGTCGGCAGTGGCCCATGTGGACGTTGAGGGTGCGGTTGGCGTAGACCTGGCGACACAGGACCTGCCGGTGCTGCATGCCTAGGCCACAGGTCTTGCTGCACTCAGACCACTCTCCGATATCCCAGCTAATCATGTGAAAAAGGAATGTTACCGACGTTAGTTTTGTTTTATTTTATTTATGTGTTTTCTCTATGTGAGGGGCTGGGGTAAATTCCGATGCTAGCATTTGCTTTGGTAGTAGTCTGCATACTACATTCTGAGTGTAAAGGCCCGTAAACGCAGCTGCAGTCGCTAATCTACACAAGACTAAAATAAAACAGGAGAGTGACCGCTCACAATGCCGGGCAGGACTGCAGGTTGCAGGCCTCCTCTTGTGGAGCTGGTCGGCTGCCGCTGTCGCACAAAGAGTCGGACACCCGGACGTGGTTCAGCCGGTGGACGCAGTGATACACAGAATATCTGAAACCTGAACAGAAGGAATCAGCCACTCATCCGGCAGCAAGAGTGTGCCATGTGTTGGACATTTAGTAATCACAAATGATCTGTTATCTTAAACAAAAACTACAAAAAAGGTTCCATTATCAGTGCTGTCTGACCTTTTCCACAAGAGGCACTGCACTCTGTGACGCCGGAGAGTTTCCAGTGGTACCCTCGCTCAGGTCTGGGCGGTGGTACAGCAGGTACCTGGTTGTCAGGGACCCGGGCGGGAAACCTCCCCCCACCCGAAGGATTAAAGTTCCCCTGCTGAGTGTTGATGTGTTGCTGGTTTCCATCCGCTCCATTCCCTAAGAACCAGATTCGAATTGTAGAAGCACACAGAAAAATACAACAGATGAGAGGATTAAAATTAGATTAAGCATGAATATGAAGATGAGTGCTTTAAGTATTTGGCCAAATAGGTGATTGCAAAATTATTTGCACTCTGTTCATTTCAGTTATGTTTATATAGCACCATCAAAACAAATGCAACCACAGGGTACTTGAGAGATACAGTCCACAGCTTATTTTATTAAAGGGCACATTTTATGTGGAAAAAAACAACAAAAAAAGTTTCCATGCTTGGGAACTCTGACGCTTTGTCTGCGGCTGAATAGATTTGATCATATCTAAATAAGGACCATGGGCTGATTTTCAATAAATTTCTGCATCACATTCCCAACCTCTCTATTTTCACCACAACTCAACCTCAAATCATGCTGCGTTCACTGTACCGTGAAGAGCAGAAATCTGAGGCTGTCTGTCCTAAGGCCGAAGCGTGTCTAAAACGGTGCCATGTAACAGGACAATGATCCCAAACACGGCAATAAATCTACACACGGAATGTCAAAAAACAGAAAGCCAAAAACAATTTGTTAATATAGTAAAATAGGGTTTTAAGACATTAAGAAAGTTTGCATAGAAAATTACCACAAACCTCAGTGACCTTAAACAATGAGGATAGGGCCCAAATTCTTTCCTAACAATGTTAGAGGAACTATTTTGATAAAGGCCATTATATAAGCTACTGAATCAGTTGTGCCTCTTAATGACGATTGCACTTGTGTCATTCTAAGATCTTGTAATAAACAGATTATTTTTATGTTATAAAATACATGAAACAATTAGAATCAAAATGTGCTGTTCTCTCTTTTTCTTCTGTTTGTAATAAAAATTTCAAAACATTAGCCTCAAAGTATTGATACAGAAACCAGAGTATGAAGACAAAGACCATTGGCAAAGTGTTTTTAGAGCTAAAACTTGATAGGGAAGCTGTGGGGTGAATTTGTTCTTTATAGTGTATTTACTAGCTGGCCGACTGTTACATTAATTACTTTTATCTTTTTTTTTCTTTATCAGTTTGGCAACGTTCAATGAATGAGCCCCAACAGAAATGTACCAATAAGACGAATCACTACCTACCCCTGTTAAAATTTCAAAATAAAACTTGGTTTCCTGTGCGCTAATGTGATCTCAAGCGAGGTGTATTTGCTATCTTGTGTGGCAGTAATGTGCTTCCATTTATCTTTGTATAGTAGTCTATGTAGTACTACATATTGTGGTGGTGTATCTAGTAGTGTATAGCACTAAACTGTAAGTGGAGGGAGGTGAAGTGGAGTTGAATGATCTAAAAACAGTTGAACTGTATCTCTGTGTAATTCTGACCAAAGCATGTCACAGACTTTTCATGAAGGCCTCACGGAATTTAGTCAGGTTATGAAGAGAGAGGCACCCCATGTCTCCTTTAATAATTAGTCTGACGGTTATTTCCTCCAGTAAGTGGGTCTAATTTACCTTCGGGTCTGTGGTTTGGTTGCGGAGGTGCGATCGTTTTCTCAGAGGGGAGAATGTACTCATAATGAACGCCAGGGTTTGGCTGCTGGAAGATCATCTGAAGAAAAGCGGAGGGAGGCTTTTTAAACAACCTTTCTCTTTTCAAATATTTGCATTTCCAACATGTGACATCTGCTGCCTCAGCAAAAACTTTTTATTTGAGGAGAATACTTGCAGTTATTAATTTAGACCTTTAAGCTCATTTTCTTTTTTCACTCACGTAAACATCCAGGATTTCATTGGTGGGCCCTTCAGCCAGAAAGGACTCCCCAGCCGTGCTTCTGATTTCGTTGGGTCTACGGTAGGTGAACATGGTCCCCCCTCCCTCGTACTTCCCTGGTCGGTCAATAACCCAGTTTCCATTGATAATGGATCGTCCCGAGCGACTTTGCAGAGCTGGAGAGACAGGGAAAACAAACACACAATCACCAAAAAGCTCAAACCAGTAAGAACTCTTGCACAAGATGTTTTATGTAAAAACATGTTAATGTCCGGATATCTTGCTGGAAGGGAGGGAAAGAAGCCCTGAAACACACTTTACACAAAATTACACTGCTGACTGCCGTCATGTAAAGCAAGCAGCGTTTTTTTAAGAGGTGACAAACTGTTTGTGCTGGCAAATCTTTTTATGCAATTCCTGTAACTAAAGCTTTCAAGATGTTTTCCACTGATTTTGTGGACTAAATGCAAGAGGCCTTTAAGAGTGTAACATTAGACCGAGCCGTAAGAGTGTTTGGACAGCTAAAAGCACTTTTAGACATGCATGGCGTGTAATTGAGACCCATTCGGAGGAGGGAGGACACTGTAGGTGATGCTACCTGGGATCAACTAATCTCTTAATGTGCATTATTCAGAGAGCTCATGTTTAGTTTATCCGAATGGACGTTTCACAGGTTCCTTACTGAGAAACAAAAGTCAGTGTGTGTCTTTTTTTTGTTGTTCTGGTCAGTTTGAATGTGTAAAAATGTAAAGTGAGAAAATGTGCATGGGTTTGGGTTCGAAGGGCATTTACTGAATTCATCCTGAGTGTTCCAGCTGTTTTTAATTAAAATGGCGAGGGTGAGATCCTCTGATGAAAGCCTGTTTGTGCACTTTCCTCCGGGAAGGCGGTCGTTGTGGGAGTCGAAGGCCATCTCGTCCTCCTCATCTGAATCTACAGCTCATCTGGAATATGGCGCTCATTAAACGACGTCGGACATTCCAACAGCCGCCTAAAAAAAACAGTCCACCACTGTTTCCAGCTGAGTTTCACCTCTGTAAAATCATCACTATTATTTATGTAGAGTGTTCCTCAAAGGCGCCATTTAAATGCTGCTTCACAGTAATATACAGTAGTGGAAACTGTACACTGGAGAAATCATGGAAAATAGAAAACTCCATTGATTCGCCCTGAAGTCCCACCACCATAAGAAGCGCCCGCCATCAGTGCATCAAATAAAGACACCACTTTCTAATAATCTCACATGACTTCTCTTCTCACTTTCTTTTTTTCGTTTAATCTGTAGCATAAAATAGCATCTGGTGGAAGGAGATTCCAAGTTTTCTCAGTTTGTTTTGGTCTGGAATTAAAGCAGAACTATGAGGCAGGCTGCAGTAAATGAAACTGTGAACCAAGACGGAAAATAAAATGGTCTATTTACACTGAGACGTGAAAATGAGCTGCTAGGGGAGACATGTTGTCCAACACTCTGAATACCCGTGCTAGCAGTACCAATCAAACATTTGGACACTCGCATGTAATGAGAATTAAGTAGTAGAATCCAGACATTTGAGTTATAGCGTGCATGGAAACAGTTTAAGCATAAGCACTCTGTTCTCAGGTTTTACCAGCATAAACGTCTGTTTTATGGGAAAATGAACAAATAATGAAACACCACGGCAAACCGATATACTGATAAGGATATATACAAAATATAACCAAAAAACGGGCCAAAAACACGGGATTGCTTAGCAATAGAAAAATAAATTGAGATTGTTCATGGAAATGAAAAGATCCAAGCACAGACAGTTCTCCACGTCGGATCTTTGCTCAGTGTCTGAATCGTGGAAAGCCACCTAGAAGTTGGGATGGTCTTCCAATAAGAAAAAACCGAAGAGTTGTTTTTTGTAATATAAATGCCAGCATCCTTTTTCCACTTTGTTTCCTCAAGTTCCGATTGTACGCAGTTGCCCACAGAAAATGCTGTCTGAATTTCCCCATAGAGTCTGTATGCCGTTTTTCTACAGATATACAAGCTGGTTGCATAGCTCTGTAGTCTCTTTTTTTATTTATTTATTTTTTTTTTACAAGGATCTCTTTCTATTTCTGTTTATTGTCTTTTTTCCCCCTATCTTTTGTTACCTGCCCCCCCAGTCAAATGTGGCATTATTTATCACATCTAAAGTATTGTAACATAATTTTTTTTTTTTAAATACATAAGCTGCGCTGGAAAAATCTATGTGAGCTTTTCACCCATAAAGTTTCCCGTGGCAAAGCAAATTTGTTTGGTATAACATGATATTCATGTTACAATTCTGCTGCCATAATGCAGGAAAATGTGCAGAGGGTGAAGTACCCAAAACAGTGGACATTTATATTGAGAGAACAGCACAGAACTGCTTAGATGGTTTGATTAGGTAGAATTATTAAATTAGTCTTTTTTATCAAGGAAAAAAATGAGTGAGTTAGCAAGCGAGCGAGTGAGTGATTTGTTTGCAATCTAAAACAGGAGCGAGACAAAAATTAAGAAAAATGGTCCTGAACTAGAGACCACACTGAGGATCACTATTCTTAGTGAACACAGTTCCTCTGTTGTGTCATAAAGGAGCGTTTTTATAGCCCACCTAGGTAGTTTCTGCTCTTCACCATCTCTGTCACATTGATCTTGGTGGCTCCCTCTGGGATCTCCACTATCTTGTGATAGCCGAGGGGGGATAAGCTGTGTCTGAAGACCCCTGAGACCATCCTGCAGGTAGAGTTGTCACCTCCGCACACTCCACACTTGTCCATCACCTTCCCGGATCCGAGATACTCATCACAGCCTGGATTCTATGGAACAGAGACGGAATGAAGGAGAAAGAACAGAATGAATAACGAAGTGAGAACTTGAAAGCATACTGTAAAGTTATGGTTGTGTGGAACCCTTTGGACTCTTCAAGAATGTGTCACATGCTTAATTAACTCAATAAATCCACATTATTAAATACAATAACGGCATAACTAGTTTGCTGGTACCAGATGTCCGCCCTTATTTCTCTAGGAGTGAGTTTTTGGTGTCACATTGGTGGTGATAAATGATAGGAAACCCGAAAAAAATGCACTGTTAACATCAGTAGCCAATAAATCCATTCAAACCAGCAGTTAGAGCACCGCACTGTGCAAACAGGTGGTCCAGGAGCAGAACGTCTTGCAGAGAGCTGCTACCACACCGTGCTAGACATGGCAGGGCCTAAGTGCAAACCATTTACGTTAACTTGGCATCCATGTAGACCAACTGATTGCATAGACTAATCATTGTATGTTGACCTTTTCATGTGGTCAGGAGGTGCCAAACCTAACTGTAAAGACAAATGACATAAACAAATTTACAGGACGTGCATAATAACCCCTAAAAAAAAAAAGATTTGGCCATTTCGACAGATTTTGCAACTCTCAGGCAGCCATAAATCTGCAGCTGTGGGCCAGTGGCAGGACAGATGCACAGCAATAAGAGGATAAACAGGTGTAGAACGGTATAGAGAAGGGATTGAAAGAGGTAGAAGGAAGAGGTAAAGGCAGGAAAGGTGGTGTGAGGCAGTCACTCAGTTTCTGGCCAAAACACAGCCTCGGCCAAAACAAACATGAAGTGCCTGCTTCCATGCAGGAAATAGCAGGTGAGGGAAGGAGAGAACAGCAAACTAAGCGCTAAGCAGTATTACATAAATAAATAAAACCACCAAACACCTCCAAGGTCAGAGTTGAAATGACTTGCAGCTCAGCTTGGAGCAAGATCACAGCCTCTAAATATCTCACTAAAACTTTAGAAGCTGAATAATGTGTTTTAAGAGGCCGTTAAAGACAAATAAAAGTGCAGACATGGAGATCTGCCTACATTCATGACCACTAATGAATAAGTGTCTTCTCTGTGTATCGATTTCTACCAAAAATGTCTTCATCCAGCACACTGAAGCTGAGCATCATTTGGCTGAAAAGGGAGAATGTTCCTCTCATAAAGTTGAGAGAGGTTGTCTCTGTGGCCATTTGGATGGGAAAATGTTTTGATCAAAGCATGTTAATGCAGACGTGGAGAGAAGAAGGTGTAATCTCGACTCAAAATCAAAAAGATCAAAGTTAAAACCTCCCAACTGCGCATATAAAAACACAGGATCTTCATTCCTGTGAAAGGAAAGAGCCAATGGATTTTCCCCCAACGGTGCAGGACACATTAGAAATTTAAACGACTGCTCCAGGTCAAGGTCCAAGCGATTTGGAAGACTGCATTATCAAAATCACCAAACTGTAAAGACAAGCTTATCCAGAGTCATCCTGCAAAAAAAAAAAGCACCAATACGGCAATCTGTCCCTGAATAATCTCACAGATTGGCACATATACATATCCAAGCTGTTTCCGACATGTGCCACCTTTGCCGTGAGCCCATCGAGATGAGGTGTTGCTGGTGTCAGGACGCATGAGCGCAAGCAGCGAGGGCTCACGATGTTCCTAGCTTTTCCCAGCGGAGCAAAAGCGGGTAATCTCTTGTGTGGCTGGGTAGGCAGGTTTCTAGTCCCGACGCAGTTTCCTGCACTTTCCACGTTGATATTGCGGTTGTTCGCCCTCTCTATGTGGGTGGCTGGTGCCATGTGGTGTGGGGAAATCACCCTGTTTTCAGTGGAAATAGAGCAGGACTTTTATAATGTCGCTTTAGCAGACCTTCATCTGGAAATGGTTACACGCGTCAGAATGGAGGAGTCGTCTCCCAGTCAAGTCGTGAGCCCTTGAAAACAACATCATCTTTAAGCAAATCCGGATAATATTTTCCCACACAATGCAGATGAGTTAAACTCATCATGTTGTTGACTTTCTGTTAGAAATTGGACTCGCACACGGTTGACCCGAAGGCACTTGTCACTGGAGATTTCATCTCTTCCCAGAAAACAGAACAAGACATTTAGAATTAGGCACGGTCGCTATGAGGGTCGAGCTTTGGTCCCTCTCTCATTCACGATTTGTTCGAAGCTGCCTGTAGTTCCACTCCGAGTAGATAAAATGCTTAAATATTGAAGAAAAAAACTGAGACACTAGCACCTCTGCTTCAGGTCTTACTGGTACTAACGTATGGAACTTTGAGATGATCTGCACAGTGCATGCTGTGAGTCCAAATTTGAACATTTAAATTGTAAAGCACAATAATCTTTATATCAATCTAAAACATACACAATCAGACATTAAAAGCACACATTACTTCCACCATTTACCTCTTGCAACTAAATCTATATTTCCTTTCCTTCACTTCAAGGCTTGTGGGAAGCATATGTCTTCAGGCTTGCATTTACAAAAGCCATCATTCACTCGTGTCCTTGCCTGACTTTTTAAACAAAAACAGCGTTTTAAGTCAGAATTAAAAGAGTTTCGGTCACTTGCAGTTTCCAGCAAGGCCCACAGACGATGTTAAGCTGGTGAAAGCTTGTAAATAGTTTCCAATTTCCATGTCCAACAGACACATGCTGAAGGAGAAGTCTTATTTCAGGTGAGCAGAAAACTACTTGTAGAAGTGCTTGGCTTTTAAGTGTGATTAATGTTGGGCTATTTTCGCCAGCCTGGAGTGGGTATTTCTGCTGCTTTACTTTGGCATCAGGCTGGTAATGAAGAGAGGGTTTCATAGAGCTTTATTGCAAAGAAAAGCTGCCTGGAAATTAGGCTGGGGTGCAACTGAATCACCAGCAATCTTTTGTCCTTTAAAAACGGACTTGGATATTCTAAGACCAGGAGATCTGAGGGAACCCCCTGGTTCCATGTGTACTATGAGTTGAGTACCTTCATACAGTGTACATTTCAGGGAAAATGACAGAGCCAGTGGTGGTGGCAAAAGTAAGATAATGTGCTTTATGTGACATAAAACCACAACCCCAAGGTGTAAAGATCTAAGTATATCTATTTCAAAACCCAATTACAAAATCAAAGCTGCAATTGGACGGAGAGCAGATCAACTCCTGCACACAATAAAATGTAACACGAACAAGTCAAAAGCTGTTTTGAATAAAGGTTTAAGGTTTTGCTGAAGATCCACAACAGATTCAAAGTAGGATTTCCCATCAACACCACATTAGAACATAACAGGTCTGCACCATCACGGCAGCAGAATGCAGTCTGAGTGAAGCCAGCACACCCCCTAAACGGCACATTAGCTGGATGCTCTGCTCACATCTGAGAGAAAAAGTGGCGTCTATGCTCAGACTTGTTAGTTTTGATGTAGAAACAAACAACATGTCAGACAACAGATGCTGAGAAATTATACAGCCGTATAACCTGGAAGTCATTTGGTTTTTACAAGAAGGAAGGATCACTGAGTAGTTATTTTTCACTGTTACAAAACAGACTTTGACGCTCATCTTAATTCATAGTGAATCCCATGATAATTGGGTAAATGCTAGTATTTGATAAATAATGACAACTTTTACCTACAAGCGTGTGCCAGACTTGTAACTTGAATTAGTTATGTATAAGAATAAGATCAAACAAGAAGTACAAAATGCATCTTTTTTCTGCACCATCAAGATCCCAAAATACATGTTTTTAACTGTTATACAGTGGGTGATGGGTGAATATGCAATGGTGAGTTTTTTCTAAGAATTAACGTTTATATTGTTATAAGTAAATGTAAAGAACTACTTTGTATTGCATTGGATTATTATGTCTAAAATGATGTAAATGTACATTTAGGTTTTGAACATTTTATAAAAGGCACAAACTCTCAAACCATACGTATGCTTAAACCTTAAATTACATCTTTGAACCCCCCTACAGACAGAAATCCCCCATCCTGAATTAAATCAGGTAACGACGGCATAGACTGGTGCCAAGACTGGTGTCTGTCTATGTTCCACATAGAGGATTTAAAGAGCCAGTCCTCCACACTTGCAAATACAGCTTTTCTTGGATGTGCTGTGAGGTTTTAGTTAAGTGAGAAGCCAGTGCAAATTACTTGGATGAATCATCTGAAGCAATAAGGGGCTAGAAAAAAAACAGGTGGGCATTGACAGCAGGTAGCTGGGACCGGGGCCAGAACGGTAATTGGGCACTACACACTGCAAGTGGTTGATTAGATAAACAATAACGCTTCAAGCATATTGAGAGCAAGCGGATATCCTCAGCCATGAGGAAAATGGATGAGCTTTTACGGGATTAATAACCTCTGGTGTGGGACTTCCACAATCAAAACTTACTATTTTATCACTTTATTTATTAGTCACAGACAGTGCTATATCAATTAATTCTGTTACAAAATAGGGAAAATTGTGTTTTAGACAGTCCATTTGATCTTTATGTTAAAAGTGAAACCAAATGTCCAAAACTTGCACACATGAAAGTGCAATAAAGATTAAGAGGCAGATAAATATTGTCAGTCAAAAAGCGTGAAAAAGTTGTTCCAATGCTCAAACAAGAAGTACACATGAAGACTTTTAAACTAAACTTCTAGTGCAATGGTAAGGCTCCCTCGCAATACTACAGCGTGTACCCACACAGAGGGCCTGGTTTGTGGCTTTGGACGAGGAATGTAAATATGGATTCCAGTTTATTGTTAATGATGCCATGTTTAAATGAAGAGCAGTGGCAGGAGCAGCGTGCAGGCTTTCATCTTGCCTTGGCAGTCGTAAATCAGTTGGGATATGTGGCGAAGACGTCTCGGTGATGGAACTTGACTTGACTCTTCTGAGTGTCTTGTGGCGTTTTGTTATTTGCTCATTTCCACTGTCATAAAAGACATATGCTAGAAGTAATGCTCAGGGAAAGCTTCTCTTTTTTTTCTTTTCACAGAATGGCAATTTAAACTGAGAAACCTTTCCAAAAGCCAGGATACAGTGGGGTGTCCTTTCCTCTGCTCCCTTCATCTCCATGTCAGGATTCAGAGGATGGAAAGATTTTAAAAGGTGAATTTTCGTGTGCCAAAATCAGCTCTGGTGGCAGGGTGGTACTGTGGGCATTACCTGGAACTTTCAGGGCAGAGATTGCAGCACCACTCTTTTCTAAAAGATATTGCACAAAATGAAAAGGCTTACAGACTCAGGTAAGCAGGAAAACTCTCCTATCCAGAAACACTGTGTTACACTCCTGTACAGAATCAGCATAAAGCACCGAGACAGCACCTGGACATCTCCCTGGGCACGTTCTGAATCACATTCATTTCTGAGAGGAATCTGGGTTACAAATGACAACTCTCGGGCTTCACTGTCTGACCACAGACGACTCCCATGGCTATACATTGCTGAGCCAAATGCTACAAAAAAATAGAAAGCATAACAAAAAGCTATGGAATAGGGTATGAATAAGGATGTTTTCTTAGTCTGGAGATGGTGTAGTGGTCAGCCCCCACCCCCCAAGTCTTAATCCACACAAATCCACATTGGACTACAACCAGAACCGTATAACCTGTGTCTTGGCAGCTTCCCGCTCAGCTTTTGCTTTTCTCCAAACCGCAGAAAAGTATTGAAATAAATAATAAACTTCGAGACTGCTGAAAAACATGTTTTTACTGTTTTTCTGTATAGCATTTGAAATACACTCTGTTTTATGTCATTCAACGTCCTCTTACTGTAAAACTGTGGGGAAAAAGGCTGGGATATGTGTGATTTGCACTACTTATGTAAAAATGTTTCCTGGGATGGAAGAGGCGCAGTATTTCAAAACCTTTATGCATAGAAAGGTTGTAAAATTGACTGGCAAATGGCCAATGGAGTTATCATGATTTGGTCAGCTGTGACTCTCAAGCTCATCTGGAAATGCAATACAGGCCAATCTTGGCTTCCAGGATGAGAATACGGACACAACATCATTCCAACAACAAAGAATTTACAGTGCAAGTAACCTCAAGATATGGTTCTGAGACTGGTAATAACATTACTGAGATGTTACAGAACATTCATTTTGACAAGAAAAAAATAGAAGAAATCTAAATTTCACTCTTAAATTATTTTTAAGAATAAAAGTGCATTTTAGTGCAATTCATATATTCAGGAAAATATTTTATTCTCTTTGCGAAGCCATTTGGCAGTAGACTTTGAGATTTCGTTTAGATTAGGATGAAATAAAATCTGTTGACATTGCGGCTGCCAGCATCTGCCTCCCATATGCTGGGATGCTGTGTAGCTTTAACTGGTTTTAATGAGTATAGGCAGGCAGCGGTGCTTTTACCTAAGTCAGCACTTCAAACACATCTGTGTCTGTGGAAGCAAAACTGCCAGTCAACATTACTCGTTATGACTGATAAAGCAGCTGAAACATCCGGGAAGTATGATTGGCTCATTTACTTCTGTGCAATGACTAAATCCTTCAGTCAGCAGATTCATTGGTGACAGGTAAGGGTGGCATTAATGGGTGTAAAAGCAATTTGTAACTACCGTTAATGAATTGCAATTAGCTTTTAGATTAAGAAAAAGTAGAACTGAATAAAAGATTTTGGACATTTCCAACCTTAACACCTCAGATGCCAACATTGAGAAAAGACTGACATAAGAGGGGAAAAAAACCCCGAAGTATTCTGGGATAAAGTTTTTTTTTATTTCAATCATTATGAATTTTCATTTTACTAAATTGACTAATCTATTTTCAGGTTTCTAAACTGGTTATGATACACACGTTGGTTATAAAGACATTGTTTCACTTCCAAAAGAATAGTAGCTTTGTAATGCCTATTATACAGTGTGGCGTTTCTTCCTCGGTAGCTCAAAATTCCGCACCATCTTCAATTGGTTTCTTTCCCTAGGAGTTTCTGGCTCTGGAATTATCCAAACACTTGCTAGAAGACTGACCATGGTCTGTGGCCACGTACACAAACTCATTTTGGATACTAATCACTCGGGTTTTCACTTTACACAACATTGTTCAACTCATTCATATCAAACGAAAGCAGCATCCCAGTCATGCTGAAGCCATTTACAGAGACCATTCAAAGGCTGTGAATTAGCAGTAGCAAGATTAGGATTTTTTTCAAGGAGAAGTTAATTATACATTTTGTCAACATATCTACAAACTTTAAAAATCAATATTATGTTGCTGTTATCTGTCATCCCCTATGGTAGAAGCGCATATCCTCTACTATAGAACCACAAGCATTTGCAGCTTTGCAAAAGTGCCAAGACCTTTGATCCCAACAATAAAAAGAGGCCTCGTCCACACCACAAACGTCCCTCACAGCCCAGAGCAAATGCCACAGTGTCTTCCTTAATGGCTCCCATGCTTGTAAAACACTCAGAAATAGCATTGAGTGTGGTGAATCTTCAGCCATTATATCGCGTACGGTTTCTTCTGACGTCACAGCTCTGATTTGGATCGACCGTTTTGGGAACAGAATGGCAGAACATTCTCTGCTGGACCTTGGCATGTTGAGGTGACAAGTTTGATTCCTGCTGGGAATAAACGGCAGCACTAACTGTAGCCAAGTATAACTTCTGCATCTTGCAAGTGGCACATATAAATGCCTTATGTACTCCGTCAGGGGTCCTGCACACCCCAGGCTAAAGCTAATAAAAGACATATTTTTAAGCATTTTTTTGTTGTTTTTGTGTTTTTTACAACAATAATACAGGGGTAAATCTTTTAATACCACTGGATTTCATTAGCTATTCAAAAACCATAGTTCAAGAAGATGCCTTTCTTGTAACAATAAATAAGCTTATTAACTTGCCCCTTTTATAATACACGTAATTTTTTATCTTAACTTAAATCCACACTGATATTCTCTGGAAGAACGGGTATTTTATAGGTTTACACCAACAACAGTGGCCACCAAACATCAGTCTGCTTAATCTTTAGCAAACAAAGTTAATTTGGGCCTCAGATGACCCGTGTCATCCAGAGGCAGCAACCAGCTAATTCAGGATCACGGTCAGTCCCAAATAGAGTTCCAAGCCCATCTTTCTGGTCCCAGGACAGACTCCAGTCACCAAGACTTACAATAGAGAAGAAATATAATCCCACAAGCAGCCAGTGAATGCGCAGTGGAAAAACAAACAGCTCAGAGACAGCAGGCAAAGCCACAGTGAAAACTGCTGTACTGTAAATACTTCCTCTCAGTAGATGGACCACAGGATCACACGGCCACACTACCAGTCCAAGTTTTTTGAGTGACACTGCCCAGAGTGGCCCACAGCCACGTAAAACTGAATGGAATTGAGCCTTAGTGGCTTTTACATCCACAAATAAACACACTCGACGTCTTCATAAGGCTGACCTTTATCACCCACTTAAATAAATGGTGAAGGATTTGCTCTGTGACATATGTAACGCCGCTAATGTAATCCTAACTATAAAGGCAGTTGAAAAGAACTCCACGATGATCGGTGCATCATGTGAGGCGACTCTCACAGAGATTTAGCATCAGTAGGAATACCCGCTCTCCCCCAGGTTCCTCCTGGACCAGCAGGTCCGATCCTACCTGTGACCGGGGCTTCCCCTGCACACGCACGTGGAGGCAGACGAGCAGCAGGAGAGCCGGTCCTGACAGCATTCTCTCACAGAAAGGCTCCACTAGACACTCGGGGGGGCTTCCAAATGAGTCTGGTGGCTCTGCTCCCGTCAGCCTCTGCCTCAGCTCTGTAGCTCTGAGAAAGCCAAAGGAACCCTCTCACTACAGAAGTGATCTCTATGAGCTCCCCCCTGTAAACTGAGCTGGGGGAGGTGCAGCTGGGGGAGACGAGGGTTGTTTTTTTTTTTTTAGAGGAGGGAGAGCTAGAGGTAGAAATGAACTGAAGGGAGGGAAAGAAGGAAAGGAGTAGAGGGAAGCAGTCACTAATGACAATGATTTGGAAGTAAGAGGAAGTTCAGGGAATGTTTTCAATGTATCATAAAGGGGAGGAAGGAAACCCTACAGGGGCTGAATTGAAGGTATGAGCAAAACCACTACAGCTAAAACTATGTTGAACTAACTGTGGTATGCCAACAGGCAGTTTGGCTTCTGCAAAAATTCCACCATAAGCTTTAATATTGCTGTTATTGCTCTTGTGTGTACGGTGGGGAAGAATGATGGTGAAATTCTCCCCCGGGGATTAATGAAAGCATATCTGAATCTTCAGAATTTTCATTCACAACTGGTACTGTATATCACACAGTCCAGGCCAGACAGCCACGCTGCAGCCAAAAAAGAACGAGCTCATCATATGGTTTTCCTCCATTGTTTCCACAACATAAAATCCTAATTCACCAAGACATACTCAGATTTGGACTCACTGTTCTTCATATCTCGCAGTTGGTTTTCTCATGACACACTGTAATACAGACCGACAGAGGACATTGGGGATATAGTGGCTGGGCCTGTTCCTGCACAAAGAGACAGGCCTGGAATAAGCATACAGAGAAGATAATTGAAAACGTTTCTATTTTGAAGAGGCACAGAGACCACAAAAGACACGATGCATTTTATGGGCTGCGTCCCTCATGGAAAAATAGTAAAATAGTTCATATAATATGAAAGAAAACGCAAATATTGGTTCTTCAAGAACTAGTCTTTGTTCCTTGAAATTCAGTGTATTATTTGAATGACTTGGATATGATTGCACATATTTTTTTCCTGTGTTTATCTATCTTTATACGAGAGACTTTAACGTAAGAGTAAAATCGTCATTTGATCATGTGAGGTTGGGACGGTAAGCATGCATTGTTGGTGGAGTTGCTGTGTAGTAGACTCACTAAATACATCAGCATTGATGAATAAAAAAATGTATTAAGTCTTTTCACTAGTTATCCAGACCAAATTGCCCTTTTTGATCCAGCAACAGGAAAGACAGCCCCACAGACTTAAAAAAAAAAGCGTTTTACCTGTTTAGAAGTTGCCTGTTTATCCCCATTTTGTCATAGACAAATGCTACAGCTACGTGCGTAAAAATGCTCAGTTTGGCAAGTTTGTTTATGGTAGTTTAAGGGTTTTCCCTTGATCAGCAGCAGCGTGAGAGATAATTGAATTCTGAATGTTTTACAGAAGCATCACCATGGTAATCTGATAATGAACCACTTCTCTTGTCTTTATTCACCTCCATTCTGTTAAATTTCCTATTCAATTTCACAGATTTGACTTTGAACTTTTGACAGCTGACTTTAGCAATCACACTTTGTTCGTTTGCTTAATATTGTTCAATTTCTAATTCACTGTTATAACCCATAAGAATGTGCTTTAGAGAAATAATGACTTATGAGTTAAGCACGTGCCAAAATTTGATGCATTATTCATTTGGTGAAATCTTTGCTGTAAAACTGTTAACTAAAACTAATCAAATAAACATAAGGGAGGAAATAGTTATGAATGGAGAGCGGATATTGAGCAGCATAAGAAAGAAACTTGAGAAAAGTACAAATTTATTCAGCTGCTCTTTGTGAGTATTGTTTGGGACGCTTCAGTTTACTGCACACACTCGCAGGCCTTCAGTGAGCTGAGCAAAGAGCTTAACATATACGTGTCGTTGATATGTATGTCTCTTGTTAAATCAAAACTTCCGCCTTTTGTTAAAAGTCTGTAAAGCTATTTGACAGCTTAAGCAGAAGCACTAAATGTGAGGAGGAAGTTAGAGTCCCCACACCTGCAACTGGCTTGGCTTGTGCTGGAACAGTGTCAGCCAAAACTCAGGCACTCACACACACACATACACACACACACACATGCACAGACACTGCTATACACAGCATCTACAGCATGCACCGTAAGCAGCTAAGTGACAACAGTCTGTTCCCGTCAAACACAGCTGCAGATGTGTAGGGGGAGGTGGTCCCACTTCAGCAGCTCATTCATCAAAATGAAAACACTGACATCGTCTCCTCCTTCTGATCTGAATAGATCTCATTATGGAGAGCCAGACTGACCCTCAAACACACCCCGGGGTCTCTGTCTCTGTCTACAAGTGAATCAGGCCTGAGACAACCCTGGCTCCAGGTGCCTGACTCCCCAGTCTCCAGCCCACACATGTCAGAGCAGTGTTGTACGGCAGGTGGGTTCAACATTATTGAGCACTGTAACACTCCGATAGCCACATGCTCATTCAATAGAGACATTCACCGTCTGTTCCTATATTTTCCCACGTTTCTAACTTTTCACAGTGTTTGATATTTGGTGGGTGCTTCGGCCTAAATCTCATTAGCAGGAACTTCACTGCAAAGTGTAGCCCTGGGTAGTAGGAGGCACTCCACCTTAAGTCCATTCATGCCTGTCCAGCTAACTGAGACGTTCTAAAATCCTGCTATCCAGATCGGGAAAAGTCAAGAAAAGGCAGAAATGATGATGGGAAGAAGACACGTGATTTTCTGTGCATCTGGGATACATATTAGTCAGCAAGGCCAGACATGTAGGTCCCATGATTGTTCCCTTCAAGCAACGTGTTTGAAGAAGGCAGGAGAGGAGTGGAAGAGGGTGGGTTAATGAATAAAGCAGGGAGAGAAAGAGGAACCGGGCCGCAAGACACAAGGTGTGGTTAAAGGAAGGCGTTGTGTCTATTTGTCTTTGACCTGGGACTGAAAAACTCTGCAAATGAAGATGTTTAACAGCCAAGCCACATCTGAGGACTACCACGTGCCATCCCCAGTTAAGCGCCTAGGCACTAAATATAAAGGTTGATATCTACAAGAATGACAAAGTGTACATGACAATTAATGTATATTCATTATTCATTTGGATTTTATTTAATCCAAAAGAATATCAAATTCTTTCACCCCTTTTATTGAAATTTGGTGCTACCATTTGCCTTCAGAAATCATACAATTAGCTGAGTTAAGCAAGTTAGCATGAGTAATATTTGATAAAGAAAAAGTTAAAAACCCCTAAAAACTCAGAGCATCTTTAAATCTGTTCCAGTTTTGTGGTGAATGGAATGGAGTGAGTACGGTTTAGAGCCTATATTAATCCTTTTCATGATTTGCTTGTTAAAGGTTGAATTTTGATGACTGATCTCTAATCAGCCCTGTAGCTTTTTCTAATGTGTTCAGCCTTAACAGCAATGGTGTCACTCTTCCATTTTGTAAACATTTATAAAGTCCCAAAGTGCAGCCTGTTAAGTCCACAAGCTGGATCCTTGGCAAACAGTCTATTCTTTTGAGAGGCCTGTGTGATGCCCAACCCTCGGAATGAAGAAGACTTCACATCGAGGAAGGTTTTTCCAATAATGACTTAATCAACCTGCTGGAGCCATTTTCCTAATAAAGCTGTTAGACAGCATTAGATAACTCACACACACACAGCTCCAGAATAAAAAGAGAGTACACACTAATGCACACAGGAAAAGTAACAGAAACACAAATACGGTAAAGCCCCCACTATTACAGACTAAAGTGAAACATCCCCTCTCACACATTCACACCTAGGGCTCTTATCTCGTTCTCAAAAAAGGCCCTATAAATTCCAGCAGTTAAGCGAGTGCTGACCACATCAGACACATCAGGGACTCCACACCGCTGACAATTCAAGCAAAGCGATGAGGCATAAAATGTGCTCAACTGTCCCTTCACAATTAACAGCCAGCCAGAAAGTAGCCAATCACTGTCAACAACCGCCCGTCTGAGGAAGAGCTTCTGTGACCACTTGGGGCTAAAAATACTACCCCATATCCGCATGAAATATACTCCTAAATCTAAACGGCGAAAACACACGCCAGTGCAGAGCTTACTCTGCACTTTCCCACCCACCTAACACATCATACATATTATCTGTCACCAATTCATTTTTTCAGAGACTTATCCATCTGTCTTCTATCGGCACCTCTGACCGTCTGCCCAGTGTCGTGTGTCTGAGCAGAGCACATATGTTAAGCCAGCAGTTTCGGCTGACTGTGTGTTGCTTGTGTTAACCGTGAGTCAGCAGGCAAGGTTAAACATGAACATCACAAGTCTCAATCAATATACAAGATAAATGAACACAAAACATCAAGCGACTGTGTGGAAACAGTACACAAAATGCCCAAAAAAAAAAAAAAACTCCAATTCATCGATGTCTATATAATTTATTCTTAGTAGGGTTGCAAAGGGGATGCAGGAAGCTTTCATAGTTGTTGGATAGCAAGACACCCTAGATAGGTCACCAGTCCATCACAGCGCCAAAGAGACACAAACAACCAGTCAAAATATCTCCTAAGGGCAATGTAGAATCATCAGTTAACCTAACATGCATGTTTTTGGATGATGGGAGGAAGTGGAAGCATGCAGTACAATGGGAGAACATGCAAACTCCACACAAATAGGTCACATAGATTCCAACAGGCAACCCTCTTGTTGTGAGGGTACAAACCACCGCACTGTGCAGCTGAAACCGCAGCACAATACGGACAATCTTTTTTTTAAAAACAAACCCCCTCTGTTAAAGAGGATATTGTTTCCATGGTCAGCTTTCAAGTTCCCCACTTTTAATTGCTGCAAGGGAAAACTTCCATCCTCGCCCTGCACAAGAGGAAAAGCGGGAACGCTGACAGCAATGTTTCAAAAGGTGTCCCAGCTGTCGTTCCGCTGACTGGCAGGAATATGCTCGGGAAATGGAAGTTCAGACCATTTTGCCCTTCCTGTGCTCTCATCTCTGTGAATGCAACAGGAGAGCAAAGACAATGTGGCAACAACGTTTGTCATTTAAGTCAAATGCATTAATGAGACACATCTACAATTTCATACTTGATTCAAACTTGCTTGATGCACTCCTTTTCTCTCAGATAATCCTGTTTGACACGGATACATTTTGTTTACCTACTTTTTTAACAATTAAATGACCAAATGAACTATTCGTTTGTTTGATAGGGACGTTTACTTCACCCAGCTTGATGAAAAAAAAAACATTATGAAATAAAGTAAGAGGCTATATTATTTTTCTGGGCAAAGCAACAGTGTAAAAGGCATCAAAAGCTGCTCCCGTCACATGCTGACACATCGCTCTCTCTCACAGCCTGAAAGAGGCCCCATAACCATAGTTAAACACTACTCGGTCCCCTGTAGAAAGACTTTATGAGCTGTAACTGGGCCCAGCCGAGGTGGGAGATGCAGGACATGTGTCCAACCCCCCCAACACGAAGGGCTTTATCTCACTGGAGCAATGCATGTCACACTGAGCCTGTGAGGACCGATGCGGGCCATTGACAGCCAGGCAGGGAGACACCGGGGCCCATTAAGATCCAGGAAGTTTAGGCCTAACGAAGACATCAATCTGTCATCTCCCTCACATCTTCACATCCATTTGTCTTTCAACTGGATAAGCTATATTCATGTGTACTTGCGAGCAGCAAGTGTCCTAACAAGTGGGTCTGCATCTACCTACAAGAGGCTGAAGCCCTATGGCTGCACCTCATCCCTGTAGAGACAAACTAGATGCAGAAAAGTTGAACTAGAGGTCCTCAGTAATATGACATTGTCTTGATTTTTTTGTCAGTTCAAAGGTTCCTTTCATTACAGTTAATTTACAATAAATGGTTATAAACAGATTGTCAAGTTGATTTATTAAAAAAAAAATTATTATAGCAAATTACCAGAAATAGATGACAGACAATAGACAAGCAGCAGATTTCTTTATTATTTGTCTTTTTTATGTATATATTAAATCTTTTTTTAAAACTGTGTCACAAATGTCCAGGCAGTTTGTGTCATTAATAGCTAAAAACAAGCTGCTGCTGCAAAGTTAACTGAAAGTGGCCGGCTGAGGTCTCTGTTTTGGCGATAACACAACAAGCCAGCAGACCGCTGGTGTGGAACATTAGAAGTCAAGGTGGACTATGTCAGCCCGGTTTTCTCTGTGTACCTCACCATAATGACCATCATCATTCATCCCGTTCTTAAAGACAGCCATCAAGGAGTTTAAAAAAAACATTCTTTACAGTTAAGTTCATCTTCATGCTTAATTTGAACCCGAGATAGAACAGCAGAATGGCAGCATATGACCAAATGAAAGGAATCTATCTTTTCAAGATAGAAAAGACACATTGAATCCTGGGTACCACTTTTTAAACCAATTCAGGTTTGGATGTTCTGCTTATTTTTCAAGGGAAAGAGGGCAACTTGCCCCACTGGAATCTAAGTACCTGTCTCATATGAAAAAAATTGAATGGGCTTCATAGACAAACTTCCTGATTCAACTGCAACTTTTAAAGGTCAAGAGAAGGTTCTACGGAATTTTCAATTCAGAAAATAGTCAGATTAGGAATAAAACTCTTTTGAGGTCAGACAACTCTTACCAATGATCTGGTAAGTCTATTAGGAAACAAACAAATTTAAAAAAAAGAACAGCACAAAGAAAATATCTGTTAGAATAAATAGAATGTTTAAAGAGTAGGTTTGTCCTCGGAAACCTCCCATAAGATGTTTATTCAAGGCCTAGCAAAGTGGACCCCAACCCATAATCCTCCTGCGGACACACCTTTACGGGACTGTATAAAAACCCTGGACTGAGCGATGCTGGACATCGAGCTTCAAGGATTCTCTCCGCACAAACTCTGCAGCCTCTGCCCTGAAGATGTCTCCCTCTGCCAGCCTGCTGTTGCTGCTGCTGCTTGGCCTGAGTCAGGCGCAGATCTACCAGGAGGAGGAAATGGAGAATGACGCAGAAAAAGATGGCGTCGACATCTCCACTAGGATTCTGACCGCCAACAACGCCAGTGACGAGTTCCTGCTGGAGGGAGACCTGCTGCCTCCCACCAGCCGAAACGCCATGACGTGCTGGGGCAACAGCTGCCTGTGGAAAAAGTCCGGCAGACAGGTGGTGGTGCCCTACGTGGTGAGCAGACAGTTCCCCAGCTACGAGAGGCAGATGATCGAGGGCGCCATGAGGGCCTTCGCCGGGCGCACCTGCGTCCGCTTCACCCCCCGCAGGAACGAGTACGACTACATCAGCATCGAGAACAAGCGGGGGTGCTGGTCCGTTTTGGGCCGAGAGGGGGGCCGGCAGGAGCTTTCCCTCAACCGGGGGGGCTGCATGTACAGCGGCGTCATCCAGCACGAGCTCAACCACGCCCTGGGCTTCCAGCACGAGCAGACCAGGAGCGACCGGGACAACTACGTCCGGATCAACTGGAACAACATCATCCAGAGCAGCGCCTACAACTTCCACAAGCACAACACCAACAACCTGAACACGCCCTACGACTACTCCTCCATCATGCACTACGGCCGAACCGCCTTCTCCGTCGGCTACGGGAGGGAGACCATCACCCCCATCCCCAACCGCAACGTAGCCATCGGCCAGAGGAGGGGTCTCTCCCGCTGGGACATCCAAAGGATCAACCTGCTGTACAGATGCTAGCCCCGCTTCTACCAAGCTACAAATGAGCTCAAATCTGTGTGCTGGTTTCTGGGATTATATCTGAAATAAGTTAAAGTGTTGAATCCCCAATAGATAATATAAAATCCTAATAAAATGAAAGCAAACGATATTTATTGTCCTTCTCTTTTATTCTTTAAAGCTTGCAGATCTATCTAAGTGGTAAACCTGTTCACAGGTGTGAAAGGAGAAAGCTTATACTGTCAAAAGAGGGCATCAGGGAAAGCCTTGGAATAACCAAGGCCATCTCTAGAAGTTTAGAAAAAGCTTTGAAGCGTGGGAGGTGTAGATGGCGTGATATAAACCTGCTTTGTTGCAACAGGGATTGACAAACTCTTGATAAAACAATTGATTATGAATTCAGCAAGTGCTTTAAGAAAATTAAAATAGTGTGCAGCAGCACATCTTAAAAAAAATCCCTAAAATCAAGACGCATTATTCAAAATTGCAAAAAGGAGAAGAACACATGCTCTTTGCGCATGCTGCTTTGTCCTGACTTCTTTTGAGAAGACAACGTTTTTGTAGGTGCTTAGGATTTGATGTAACGGGGGGTCAGCACTGCAAATTCATGTTGTCATATCTTTTCAGCGAGGAGCAGAGTGTGTTCAGTCAGAGGCTTCCTCAACTGCTTATGGCATATAATTCATTTGAGTTCATCGCAAACGGAAAAAAAGGAAGATTACCAAATTCATTCACAGATCGACATCACGGACACTTACAGAGAAGCAAACACTAATCATATTTGTTATCATATGTCCGCGGACTGAGGACAAGCTCTGCTGACATAAACACATAACCATCTGCGGCGAGTAATGATGAACACCGCCGTGAACCTGCAGCTGGGGCTTGTTGTGGCAGAGATTGAGCTATCTCCTCCAGTGTGTGCCAAGCAGGCTGTATATCAGAGCACTCATCCTCCTTTTAACAAGTCTGCCTGTCCACCACAGCAGGGAATGCACAAAACAGATGCAGCTGTCAGAGGACAGAATTCAGGAGTGGTCTTGGCTGATGCTCGACTCTCTCTTTGTGCTGGGAAACGTGCCAATCAGAGAAGGAAGGTATGGCTGAGAACTCTGCATTGCAACAGGTTGAGAGACACCTCATTCTATGTGCTACCTTCATTTATGGCAACACTGTGTCCATTCTGAAACTGTTCGTGTCATCAAAAGAGCGAGGGAGGTTATCATTCATATATTACAGCAGGACTGAAACATAGGCCCTCATATTTCTATTTCCTCCTAATTATCTAACTGATTCTCACCAAACTGTTTAGATCTGGAGACACAACTCTAGACAAGCTAGATGTTTACCCACTGCTAAGAGCAAAACCTATCATCGCCAGCAGTGAAGTGTGTGGTCAGTGATTGCCCTTTAAAAATACACACTTACTTCTCAAATAGACCTCCTTGGCATAAAAGGAGAGAAGTCACAGCTGAGTGGAAGTCCCACCATAAAGGGATCTTTCATTCACTCTTTTTGTGATACAAGGAGCCTCATTCAAGGAGGGTTGGGGACCTCAGAGTGAACATTTTCCAGTGTGTGAGTGTGTGCGCACATTAAAACTGTAAGAAATTGTGAGACAGTCGACCGAGAACAGAGAGAATAATCACTGGATGAACCATGGCCATAAGCACAGAAATTGATTCACTTAGAGGGTGCTGTGCTTTCCAAATGTGTTTATAACAGAGGGCATGCAATTCCTACACAGTACATTAAATCAAGAATCAAAGGAACAACTGTCTGGTTATTGCTCTAAATACTTAAAACAAAACAAAATCAAATGGAAAAAGTAGAGTTCATTGTTTGTGACAGATTAGATATTTCTTAAGTAGCACCCTACTTTCTTTCTCTAAATCAGAAAGTATTGGGATGGGATGGAATGGAATTGGAAGTTTAAATATGCAGCTTTTTACATGTATTTTGATTTAATGAACCCAAGATATCAATTTCTGTTTGTTATATAATCTAAAAAAGGGCGGAGACAAGACCTGTGGAAAAGAAAGCTGTGGTCAGAGCAATTAGTATTCCCAATCTGAATAAAACAGATGTTGCTTGAGCCTTACCTCCTATGAGGTTATACAGGCGTATTTTACACACATAGTAACATAGAATATGCTGATTTCATGATGACAAAATGCAATACAATGATTGAAAACTACACTGTAAACTGACCAAAAGCAGTTATGCTGAAGAAGAGTCTTGACCTCTGGTCCTGACATGTCTCCTATAAAGAATATGTGTTGCTGTTTGCAATAGCAACGAGCTGTAGCACACCTTAAGACACATGAATTCATTGTCCGATATCCTCAGTGCCAATATGCATTTTAAGAATTAACAATTAATAAATACCTAAAAGCTTCACTCAATGTGTTTGGGGCACATTGGACTATGAAATTCGAACATTTAGCAAAAACAGCTTCTCTTTTGGAAAGGTCCCTGTGTCTATTGGGCCTGTTGAGATATGCACAGTAGTGTTTCCATGCTGAGTGAAGACATGCTCTGACCTGTCAGATATGCTAAGGATGCTTAGATAGAAAAAACATTACAATTTTTGTCTGATATGGCTTCCATCCAAATCTGATTAATGAGAGCTTTTGGTAAAGCTCCAGTAAGTAGTACGACCTCACAGTGTTTGGGAGTAGTTTTTTTCAGTAAAGCTATGTGTGAGATTTTATCCAATTGAGGGGGACAAATTTCAGCTCACAGGGAACACGCTAAAGGAAGCGTTATCCTGACTTGTCCTTTGCACCGTGTTTCGTCATCAAAAAGAAGAGGAAGCAGCCTTTTCCCTCTGAATCCATGAGTTTTTGAAGAGGGCGTGAAACATGCTGGGAAACACAGTTTGATATTTTTGCCACACCGCTCTAACAGTCACTCATGAGGTATGGATTTCAAAAGAAAAATGGATGAGTTTTTTTAACATGGCACGTGCCATTTCCAACACAGAGCAGACTGAACTTAGTTCAGCCCACTTCATCATCCACACGGCATAACAGCTGGCAGGCAGAGCAGAAAGCCATGAGAGCCACATCAAAAGAGAACGCATTCTGAATCCCACGTAGGGCCATGGATTGGCGTTTGCCTCAAATGAAAACAAAAAACCTTGATGGTCTATAATGCCCGCCTACTGCCAGGTTTCTTTTGCCAGTTTAGTCAGCTGGTTCGTCTGGCATAGATAAAAAATCAGGCTATATAATTGCCTTTTCTTTTTTAACACAGAGCTTACATCTAAATAGTCTGTCATGGATCAGTTTATAGGTAGCATGTCTTACCTGCCATGAAAGTGTGCTGTGTTTATGTGTAACATCAAGAGACAACTTTCAATCACGTATGCTGTGGTGCCGTCTTATCATCAGTGGAAAAGGGAGAAAAATCCCATCAAACTGTCTTCCATCAAAGCTGCCAAGGAATGGTATAATTTATGAAGCAATCCACAAGTCAGCAACACGCTGGTACAAGCCTTTCACTGACAAAGAAAGTAAAGCTAGAGGCAGACAGCTTACTGTAACCAAGTCTCAGTTTAATTCAATGTGTAGCCTTTTGATTTCAATACATTGCTCACCCCCATCTGCATTGCAGCCAGGGAGGATTCAGAGAGTTATCAAAGCTGAGCTGAATGAATGAGTGTTCTCAGATATGAAGACTTTGTGGTTTATGCTGCAAACAGTCCGCCAGCCCACTCTTTCTTTGTTTTTCTCATCTCAAAACTATGCTTGCAGGGACATTTTTTCCAAGAGCATAATGTATGTTCCACATGCCATGATATGCATCTGTATTCTACAAATGAAAAGAGTTCTGATAAAATTCTGTTCCTACAGAATATCGTGGTTTGTAGCTGTACTCGTCAAAAAGAAAGAGAAGATGTGATTTCTACAGCTTAAAGTGGATTTAAACAAAAAAAATCTTTAAGATGAATCTTTAAATCATGAGCCATAAAGGAAGAGTTGATGCAAGAAAATAAATTATTAACTTCAGCAGATCAATAACGTTTAAGGCAAGTGCTTGATGTGAGCGCATTCTCCTAATTTTAGTCTCCATCACTAATGCCGCATAAAGACAACCTGCTTGAAGGGGCAGTGTGATGTGTGCTCTAAGGCAGGATATGTAATTATGAGTAAACTCAGAGATCAGAGGGCTTTCTGGCTTGATTAAATCTTAATGTTGCAGAGATTACGGAGCATGGGAAACGCAGTTTACTGAATGAGGTCAGAGTCGTGATCAACCAGAAACAAGCTTGTTCTCCAGCAGCTGTATTCTGATCAAAAGCATAGGAAAAAGAGTCCAGCACTAAAAATGCAGAGCCAAACAGACACCCCCAAAAAATCGACTGCATCTTGCTTTGGGCACTTAACCCCTGCCTAGTCTGACCTTCACTTTCACATCAGATAATAAAAAAGAAATACGCTCCCTTAGGTTTTGCTGCCCCCTACTGCCCACAGCCATCACAATTCAAAATGACTAAATTTACAATAACAATTCTCATTATTAAATATAAATCATCCATAAACTTTTATCGGACACCTGGGGAAGCTCCATTTTCCAGATATCTATATTTACACACATATATAAAATACATTTGTAAAATTTCTTTTAACGCATTAGATCCTTCAGAAACGTTGAAGAAAATAACTTTGAGGCCTACCGTGCACTTCCCGACTACACAGAGAGAAGTATCGTTATTTCCACACGGAGTCCCATCAGTCACCCTCTCAGACAGTTTCACGTAAAACCTGAAGCCTTTGGCCCGACAGTTGAGTTCACAATGCTGCTCTGCAGGAACTGAAAGAATAAAAAGAGAGCTTGTCACATTTACAGAGGAGCACGGTAGTTTCACAATACCTAATGATTAAAGACATCAAAAGGGAAACAGATTCAAATAAAAACAATAAAATCCTATAGAACACTCTACATCCTTACATTCAATGTAAAAGAACATCTACTTTTGTCACTGAGGGATTACATATAAAGAACTTTTGTTAACG